CCAGCATCGTCTGTATCACAAGTCGTGTCATATTATTGAATGTGCTGTAGAGGAGCAGCTGGATGACATCCAGCGGCGGCTCGTCGATTACAGGCGAGACAGTGCAACCCTGCCTGGAACTTCGTTGCGTTCGGGCGCGGGCTTGCGTGCCGCACTGTACGAGCTTCGGAGGCAGTCCTCACTGGCTAACGTTCGCAGCTACCTCGCCAAGAAGGAGTCGAAACGATTGAGTCTAGCTCCTGAATGAACAAGTGGCGCGGAAACGCCCGAAGGCATCCGTTAAGGAGGTCAACTTGACTGCCGAGGTGCTGAACCTTTGGCTTTGACCTCGGAGCGTCATACCTTGGGAAAATGATGGGAAGTGTGTGCAAGTCAAGCAAGCCATGATTGGGTCAGGTACACAGTCGTCGCCGATCAAAAAGAATCCGACGCACTGGCTGGTCAGGCAATGTGTTGGGCTTGCCAGATGTGACAAGTGACGTGTCTTCAGAGTCGTTTTCGCAGGTGGACGAGCTTAGTAGCAAGCTCGCATCCACTCAAGGCGCCCAGAAGGAGACCACCAAGAGGGCAGCTTGGCTTGCAAGTTTCTCCGGGAGACATTCGGCTGTTAGAACATTCGCAGGTCATGGAGCGAATGAGCGCCGCCCGGGATCGTTCACTGCTGGGGCAGTGTGTGCAGTGCTACTTGGAGAGCAGCCAGAAAGATGGAGCCGCTGCCCACTGTCTAAATAATTGGTCCAAGTGCTCTGTGCTCCGATTCTGAGGTTGGGTTGCAGAGGTGGAAGACAGCAAGAAGCAGGGTGTCGGCCCTTGCCTGTTTGTCCACGAACATCGAATGATGTGCTCATGCACTCTAAGACTCTAAGCCCGTGAAAGGGACCTGACGCCAGATGATGCACGATGTCTTATCTGATGCCAAAGCCCGTTTGCAGTCCTTCCTTAAGGCCCGGGCTGTGCTGGTAAATGGTGACAACAGTGACTGCGAGTTCCCACTAGCGCTTCGTCTGCCCAGGGCAAGTCGGAAGCTTCGATGAAGGCTCCAGTGCACATTCGAAGGAACATGGTCTACGAACTTGTCGAGATGCAATCTCTGCCACCAGGTTCTGAAAATGGCCCTTGGTGGCACCGACACTGGACTCTTGACCCAGGTGCGCCTGCTTCTCCCGGCTTCTTGGGAATCACACTGTGTAAGGCATGGTCTAAGCAATGCTCCCCGCAATTGGTCGGGGTATCACGTTGGAAAGGCTCTCGGCTGCTGGAAATCTCAAGTGCTCGATTTGAAAAAGGAAGCCAGGTGCTTATTGGCTCGTTTCGGCTTCTGTAAAGCTACGTGCTCAAGCGGGCTGAGGCAGAATTGGAAAGAATGGTGCAAGCGAACGCCAAGCGGATGGCTGTATCTCGCCTGCATGTTGTGTTTGATCATCAATGCTTGAAGGTTCATGCCTGTGTTGATTCACTTCTCCGAAATTTGTGTCTGTCAGGACTATGGCGACAAGAGGACTGTAGTGTGATAGGCGGATTTGGTGCTTAACGTGCTCCGGACAGGGCATGTGTTTGTGTAGGAAAGCCGTGGCAAAGGCTGCCATGGAAAGAGTCCAATAGTGCCCCTGCATTCGTTTCTTCAGCCGGAGTTTGCGCAGCTAAAGCGTTTGATGATCCTAGCTATGCGATATTGCCTTGCTGCGAAGCATCTGCAAAGAAGCAGCATGCACTTGTTTGCAGTTACTCGGAGCAATCCCTCCTCATGGAGACATTCCACAATTGGAGGCAGAGCGCACACTTCCCATTGATTAGCTGAGTGTGCGACGGCAGAAGCGGCTGTTTTCTGCAGGCTAGACACCAGGGTGGAGGTGACGCTCCAGAAGTGCGCGTTGCAAGATGATTGAATAAGTCTTGGTTGGGCCATGTTGGGCCGCCAAAGAGCTCTCGTAAGACCTCGTAGGAATGGAAGAGCGCCGGGGCTTGAAGCGTAATATGGACAACAGATCCATGTTGGCCTCAGAACGACAATTAGCTACCAGCCGCGAGCCGCGGAACTTTCAAGAGAATCGCTGTCTCCTGATTCTAAGCGCAATACAGTGTTCAGGAGAACAGACCGCATTCAGACCGTACAGAAAGCTTTGCAGCTATTTGTTTAGCTTCGACAATGTTCCCCAGCAAGGCCTTGGAGTGCTGCTAATGGGTACAATCAGGTACCACGTACGCATCGAAGCGAAGCGCCAACAGCTCGCCGGAGTGCATCAGGCACCTGTGTCCAGCACTGAAGATGTGCTGCCCCTGAGAACAAGACTTCATGCAAGCTTTGCAAGTGTTTTTCGACAAGGGAGTTGGCACTGCAGCCTGAGATTCGCAAAAGTTAGTCTTCGCAGATGTTCCGCACCTTCGCGCACCAGCTTGAGACAAGCCTGAAGAAGAGCTGCTGCCTTACACTTGCACCGAAGAGCAACCTGACCTCAGCTGCAAGCTCCTTAGGTGTGGACTCGGAGAGGGCGTCGACCCTGAGGAGGCAGTTGACAAAGCATTTTTCAAAGCATCACGTCACTAGGTAGGACGCTGGCTCGGCTACGTGGAATCTGCGCGTGTGTGTGTGTGTGTTCAGTGAATACGCAGTCTCAATTGCTCGCTCCCAGTGGCCGTGTTACGGTATTCTGCTTGAAGCATTGATGCACGGGTTTTGCAGGACGCGGACCCTCCACAAAGCAGACACCGGCGCTGTTTCCCTCCCAGATATCCACAAGTTGGGACCTCACTGGCAAACTCGGTTTTGGTGCCGGCAAAGACTCTGTTTGACCATGAGGCCCGGCTCTCCTTCAGGAGATCCGATCAAGGCGGGCTGTATCCTTAAGGCCTCCTTGGTCCCCGAATCACCTAAGCAAAAAGGCCTGCTGTAAGTGGCGCGATGACACAGGCAGAGGCGACACTGCCACGCACGGCCTGGGGATGAGGAGGAGATTGTGCTGAACCATAACCACCTCACGAGCTCCAGCCATAGACAGCTGTTCACAGTGCACTTGTCTCAGGCGGCCTGCAGTTGAAGCTGCCGAGACTTTTTCGCCGAACTGGTGGACAGCGATGACAGTCACGCTACTCCAGTCATTTGGTCTTCGTTACAGGGGCTGGCAGCAACATTTCGGCTGCACGGCAGGTTGTTGCTTCAGGTGTCTATTCCTTCCGTCGACCCATCCGAAGTCTTTGCCAAGTGCATCAAACATACACGAACATCATGACAAGTCTCACCACTTTCACGTCTCACCTTGTAGTAGAGGCAGTCTGATGAGGTATCGCTATCTTCATCGTATCTGACAGTGGATGGACGGCTGTTGCTCCCCTGGTTGTCCTCAATGCTGCGCGGGCTTTCAAAAGAAACTCGCCAGCTGGGTGGCCGGGTGCAACGCTCTGCGTGTACACCGTCAGTCTGCTTAGGGCCAAGTCTGTCTCACCGCTCTTCCTGGGCCTTCACACCTCACCGCAACCGTGGAGCCGGGCTCCCAGAGGATTGTGTCCAGACTGGGTGCGTGTGTGCGTGCGTGCGTTGTGTGTGTGTGTGTGGTGCAGCACTGTTGTGTGCGAAACAGCAATCGCGAACGGCGTAGCTGCCCTAAGCGCTCTGGCTCGATGCGACTTTCGACGCCTAAGTCTTTCTTGCTAGCATCCTCTCGCGCCTTCGGCGGTCATGGCTTCCTCTGATGCGGCGGCTGTGGCTTAGCAGCTGGCGGCTGCATTGGCTACGTGCCGGTGGTCGGTCTGCTGTCGGCGGACCAGGTGTCCGACCTCAACGACGCTACCTCGGCGGCCGACACAGTGATGCAGTGGCTCACCGATGCTTCGGCAGCGGGGCACTGCCGGCCTTGTGGACATCCCAAAGAGGCAGACGACAGGGAATGCCGGCGTCTGTTGGGCCGGTGGATCGGAGCCCCCAACGAGCTGGCGGCCGCCAGGGCGGAGGGGATGGAGGAGCACTCGGTGGGTCAGGTTCCCAACATCGCCCAAAGCTATGGCTTCGACGTACAGGGCGGCCATGCTGGCGATGCGACCACCAACCAACGCCAAGATCTACGAGCGGCGTGGACACCGCGGTCGACATGTTTATACCTGCATGCCGAACGGTGCATGCAGCGCTACACATCCACACGACGAAGAAAAGAAATCGTCCAGTTTTGGCGTCAAAGCTAGGAGTGCGGCGATTGTTTGTCTGTGTGTGTGTGTTTTTGCGTGCATCTGTGCGTGTGTGCGTGTGTGCATCTGTGCGTGGCGCGCGCACGTTCGTGCGTGTGTGTGAATGTATGTCGAACTTGTGGCTTGATTGACCGAAAGCCCGAAAGCCCCAAAGAACGCAACGAAGGCGATGGAGTGGCAGCTCAGAGGTGCGAAAAGTGTGCAGAATTCCAGAGCCTTGTGTGTTGCGTGCGTGCTTGGCTTTATGGTCTCTGCCATCGTCGCCGGTGCCACTGGAGTGGAGGACTTAATGAGGTAGTCAGGGTGTGCTAGTGCGACGAGGAACCCAGTGCTCATCCAAACAGCGGTAGTTCTCTCTCTTTTGGGGTCTTTTGCGTAAGTGTGTCATAGTAGTTTTGGGGCCTAAAACGGCGTCGCGGAGCGAAGATGTCTGATCCCGACGCAGCGTGAGTCTTGAGAAAGTTCTGGCTTGCTAGCACGTGTACAAGTGTACTTCTTGAGATCGGTATATAGCATGTCCACAGTGCATTCTTTGCATGTCGGCCAGAGATCAGATCAGCAGCACAGTGTTATGCTTCTGATGTTTCGGATCGCTGCTGTTCGGCTCGGAAGAGAGTGAAGGTAGAGCTGCTAGGTTTTTCGAAGCCGAAGCTGCAGGCCATTCTGCATGCTTTGTGTCCGTTCTCATGCTACAGGAGGCAAGCCGAAAGGATGATAAGCCCGCGTTGAGATGTAAGACATCCTGATGTTACCAAACCCTCAAGGAGGGCCTTGGTTTCTGAACGCACCCTAGCTGCTCACTTCAGCTTCTCGGTAAGGCGGCTATGTCGCCACAGGCTCTGTCGCCACAGCTGCACTCTCAGTCAAGGGGGCAAATCGGTAGTTACAGAGATTCTAGCCTGAAGCACTGTCGAGCTGAGGAGCACCGGCACAATGAAGAAGAGTTTCAGCAGTGGGACGTTGCAAAAGTCTGGACAGGCAGCACATGGCAGCACGCTAGTTCGTGAGCACTTCATGCTTTGTCGCTTACCCATCCAGGCTACCATCACAAGCCCGATGGCAGCAGAACACAGCTCAGTTTGTTTGTGCATGTTTTCAGCTTGCTTTCATGTCTGTGCCGCATCGTTGTCTGTCAGGACATAGAGATGCCGAAGCTTCCAAAGTATCTCAATGTTACCAACCTGACAAAATTTAGGACCCGGTTCTTGTTTTTGCTCATTTTGCCAGACTTCAGCTCTTTGTTCATCTTGCTTGGTCGCCTCAGCTCGTTAGGAAGCTGCCGAGCAGCACAGGCAACCTTCATGGTTGGCTGGCAGAGGCAAGCAGCTTCCTTGTAAGACGGGTGCAGTTCGTCCGGTGCATAAGCACCGAAACGTCTTGCAGGTCGATGTTGTGGCACAACCAGCTGATTTTTCTTGATTTCTCGTGCCCTAGCGTTCATGGAGGACTATAGTCAGATCAACTGGCCACTGCCGAAGATGTTCGGCAAGGAGAAGTATGGATACAGAAGCTCGGCAGTACTTAGTCACACAATTGATATTGTCGTGGATCTCCATGTCCTCTAGTCTTGCAATTGCAGCACGCCGTGCCTGTCTCGGCTTGAGAATGTGCAGGTATGATCGATATAGACGATCCTCGGTATATCAAGGATGGTGCTTGCTTGTTAGACGAACCGCCACGCAATCAGATTGAACACACAATTGAGTTCCTGGTGGAGGAGTGCGCCTTGATGTCGCAAAAGCTCGTACGGTTGCACTATGATCAGCAGATCATCGACTATACGCCTGGTCCTCAGCTCTTTTGAACTCGTCAATTTGCCGCCAAGCCGCGATGAAGTCATGCACAAGGTGGAGAAACACGTATAAAGCCCTACTGACCGCAGAGCACCGCCAGGTTGGGACTGAACTGTAAGTGTAGAGAGTGCCGGGGTAGGGGGTCGTGCGCCCTTCTCTCAGGCGACTTTGCCAAACAACTGTGCTCAGAAAACAAGGGACTTGATGAAAAAGGAGGCCTGGGAACTGCTCTTGCTAGAGAACATATTGAAATTGGACCTGATCAGGTGGATTCTTGCATGAAGCAGTTGCTGGAACTACAACAGCAGAAGGATATGTCCGTTGTTGCGAAACGCAAGAGTTGGGTTGTCGTCTGCATGTGACCTTGATTTGCCGGAATGTCGCTGGTGAAGCTGGTGAATTCCCGGAAGCTGTGCAGTTTCAGGACATGTACGAGCAGCAGATCAAAGAAATCTACGATAGATGCGATGCCATCAAGGCAACCATCAAGAAGGCCACGCATGGACCCTGCCACTTCGGACCGAGATACTAGCATCCGGCTTGCGATTTCATCCTCATGGGTTGGCATGTTTCTGGATCAGGAGAACGACTTGGAAGATCTCCGGTTGACGATGGAGAAGCAGACCAAGGAGAACTTTGTAACGTCACTCGCAATCTGCATGAACAACAGGGATTCTTTGTCAGACCCAGCTGTCGCAGGAGAAGATCTCCAGTGACTCGCCTTTTTGGAAGGCCAGACAGAGTTGCCGAGCGAGCGGGTGTACAGTGCTGCAGCCTCGCTCCCCTCAGGCCAAGTTCAATATCCGCTCTGTAAATGCGCCGCCGAGGCTGGAGTGGATGTCCTTAGCATCAGTCTAACACTGAAATGTAGTAGCCTGCCCGACTCGGCGGAGAGCGGTGAGGTCGAACCGTAGGAAACCGGAGTGGGGGACAGAAGGGTGTTATCCTGCAGTTGGAATCCAGCATGAAGTGCCTATGTCCTTAGACTCGTTGTCTTCTAGATTGCCTTCTATACAGCTTTTCGGGTCACGTGTTCAAGGTGTACTGACTCGCTAGGATCTTGCCTGGATCATCGATGCTGGCCCGATTGTCTCTCCCGCTCAGGGGTTCTGGCGCTGGATCAATCGACTACTAGGCAGGGAGCTGGGATGCATTTGCTCCAACATTCTGAGGCCTTCTCCCCTCGCCCTTTTTCGGTCTGACATCTGGGGCCTCCCTGCAGATCAAGGCTTGGTGAAAGGCCCCGAAGTACCTGGTTGTTTCACAGTGCATGTTAGCCTACCGTATCTTCGTGGCGAATTTTTGTTGAGCCTCTTTGGAAGGGTTGCATGCATGGAAGACCGCCAGCAATGTCACCGCCACCACATCGCTGCTGGACGAGCACCACCGCCAATGCACGATGCAGCGAGGGCAGAAACAAAAAGCAAGCAGACGAAATGTGGACAGCCCAATTCCCTAACGCCCAAACCCCCACAAACCTCAAGACCTAAGACCCTCAATGCTAAACCCGACTACTGCGACGGCAACTGCAACTGCGATTGCGATTGCAGCTGCAACACCGCTGGTTGCGATCGTGACCAGCAACAACAAGGTTGCCTAGAAGCCCGTCTTTAAAGCTGTGTTGGTTGTCACGGCTACTCAGGTGACATGGAACCATGAACCTGAATAAGGAGTTATCATTTGCCGGGTTTGCAGTGTGTCGCACTGCTTGCCTGTAAGGTGTGCAGCCTTGCCCCTGAGATGGGCTTGGCGGAGAGCGATGAATTGTGAAAAGAAGTGTCGAAAAAGCACCAAAGCGTTCTCCGCCCGGCTGTTCACTTTGTTGCTTCGAGCGACCCTTCGGGTTTCACCGTTCCCAACACCGCTGCCGAACATGCACGTTGTGCAGCCTTAGGCTTAAGGTTCAATGAGTTACCATGCTGCTTGCGCAAGGGAGATATCCTTGTCGGTGCGGTGGAAGCAAAGACGGTATCACCGCGTCTCACACAAGCAGACTCAGTCTGATGAGGGACACCCTTCCACATGAAATCATGCAGCTCTCAGTTCAGTTGTTCGTCTGTCGGTCGTCCTCAATGCTGCACGGGCTTTCAAAAGAAACTCGCCAGCTGAGTGGCCGGGTGCAACGCTCTGCGTGTACACCGTCAGTCTGCTTAGGGCCAAGTCTGTCTCACCGCTCTTCCTGGGCCTTCGCGCCTCACCGCAACCGTGGAGCCGGGCTCCAAGATGTGCTTCGGCGACGGCATTTCTTTGTCGCTGGGAAAACTGAGAGCATGAAGAGAGCAGCTAAGGCGACGGAGTCGCGGGCTCGGAAGTGCGAGGCGAAAACAAGAAGACAGCTGGACGAGTTGTGGATTTGGGTTCCTTATCTTGTGTTTTGGCGGTGAAGGCGATGGTGCGGCCAATACATTGGTTTTGCTCAGATCAACGGGAGTTTTCAGGTACCAAGCCTAGTCCGCAACCGGCTTGGTTGCATGGATTTATACTGCACTGGAGATTACATACGTAAAGGTATGACATGGTTCGGAAACAGAAGCAATTACCATAATAGTTAGATGCTTGAACTCAGAAGAGAGATCAAGACCCACAGCACGGAAGACAAAGCACCCAAGCAAAACACATGCCAGACACCTCAAACTCACTTCGATGTACCCATGGGATCCCATGGGTACACTGCGCGATGCTAAGCATTGAAGCGAAGCTGTCGAGGCAAGGACGGGTTTCGAAGCGAGCATTGGCTCTCAACCCTGCAAAGATCTTTGTTAGAGGGCAAAGGGAAAGCACTAGTGGTCGGCCGATAGATATCTGCTCGAACCGCCTTCTCAGCACTCTCTGCCCCTTCGCCTCTCTTCGTCGTCATGGCCTCACCTCGTGAGTTTGCCGACTTCGCCGCTGCGGCTGGCCTCGACCTAGTGGGCGCGGCCATTTATGTCGACATCGGCGTCTGCAACCTCGCCTGGGGAGATGCCTGCGACGGAGAGATCGCCGTGCAGCCCACGTCGCGGTATCTTCCTCGCCGCCTCCGGCTGGGGTGGCCCCCCTGGACCCCTTGATTCCACTTTTACGTGGGGGTCCAGACAGAGGGCGGGATCTTTCTTCAAAGTCGGTGAAGGTCCTTACCGCGGCCGTCCAGGCGCTTTCGCCCGAGGACAGGGACCGCTTGATCGCCCAAAGGGCGGCCGAAGTCCAGTGATGGACGTGGCACCCCTGCACTGGCTGGCCTTCACGACGCCGGCTTCCTTTACGCCGCCCGCGCCGCCTACTACCTCCTTTGTCGGCCGTCGTCGTCGACTACGGGTACAGCGGCGCCTTCGGCATCCTCGTCCGGGAAGGGCTCGTCGATTGCGGAGGCGCGGGCCTATTGAAACGCCGCCTGAGACGTGGGCTGAGGAATCGCTCGCCGCCCAGGCGGCTGCGTCTGTGGTGCCCATCCCTGACAAGGACGGCACCTCTTGTGGTCGACTACCTGGTCGAGCTCGCCGTCGCCCAAGGTGGCGCAAGACTTCCCGACCGCGGTGCCGGGCGGCTCCTCCGCCCTTCGTGCCACAGCCGCCGCGGCCTATGACCGCCTGACCCAGGTGGTGGAGATTCATCGCCAGAGAAAACGCTCAGAGGAGCATGGCTGGGATGCGGCAACTGGCCTATGTGCCTTGGCCAGCCAAATTGAGCGTCAGCTGGCGGAACAGTTCGCCATTGAAGCGGCCGAAACCCTGCGATCGCCAAGCCACCGTGGCGAATGGGAAAGAGGGCGCGCCCAGAGCGGTCACAAGAGTGGCGCTGTCAGCGCCGGAAACTGCTCACCCGCCCGGGCAGGCAGGACGGCAGCATATGGCACCCGAAATCGCCATCGGGCGGAGAGCCGCAATCGGCGTCCCCTACGGCGGGAGGCTCCCTCGACATCCTCCTCGTGGTGACGTCGACTGGGTGAGCGCGCGGCGTGCCACGCCAGGCCACCGCTTCGACGACTAGCTCGTCTACTGCATCTGCGCTTGGGTGGCCTCATCTTCGCCGCCATTGTGGTGCGGTCTCGCTGTGCCGTCGCCCTTCTGCGGGCTGTCGACAGATCTCGCCGGGCACTGGCGGCCAAAAAAGCTGTGAGGCGGTGGGGGACATTGGCTTCGCAGGCCATCGCGCTCCTGAGCAGTTGTTGGATTTGGCTCTTTGGTACTCGTAGGTGCCGGCGCCTCGTCGTGGGTGCGCCGGGCGGGGGCAGAAGTGCACACCCCGACGCACCGGCACCGAGTTTTCGGGCGGTGTGCCCGGCCGGGCGCAGTTTGCGCTACGACCAAAAAAGAGCCACTGCACCTTAGTAGGAGCTTTGGCTAATGCGTCTTTAGCGCAGTGCTTGCTGTGTAGCACACGTGTGTGAGTAGGAACAAGCGCTAGCGGTCGGACGATAGACATCAGTTCGAACCGCCTCCTCAGCACCCGCCCTAATCGCCCTTTGGGTGATTTGTACCGACATTTCGTCTGAGTATCGGCCGACACTCGCCCCCTCGGGCGGTGCTCGGGGCGGGCGCAGCGTGCCCCGGTTTTCGGGCGGTGTGCCCGGCCGGGCGCAGTCTGCCCTACGACCAAGTTGGCGCAGTGCTTGTTTTCGGAAGTTTTTAGATCCGTGAACTTCTCGAGTGAAACCCGCAAACCCCAGTCTGCGAGGATGAGCAAGTCGCAAAACTTTCACTACATCGGATCCATGCTACCTGGAGCAGTGCGCATGTGTGCATCCATGACACGAAGGACTGTGCAAAAAATGACATTTTTCGGAAGCACCCTGTCGGGGTGGAGTGACACTAAGCTATGAGCAGGAAATCACTGTACATCATCGAGCTATGTTTCAGAGAGCCCAAACCAATTGCAGCGCAGGACTGGATGAGTCAGGGGTGCCCGATGTACAACCCGAAATGAAAAACTGTGTGTGTGTGCAAGTGCCTGCTGCCACGTACGAAGCATTGAGCTGGTGCTGCTGTAGTGTGCACATATAGCTGAGCACCGGATGAATTCGGCTCAACTATCAAGTTAAGAGTCCTGGGAAACAGCGGCGCCAAGATAGCTGAGCTTCAGGCACGCAACTATCACAGCACATGTCTTTGCGAGCATATTTCTGACACAAAGACTGTTTTGATCTCAGTAGCGATCTAGTATCACAGCTGTGGCTCTGGCATTGCATTTAAACTGTCAGCCTTGCTTGACCTACAGTTCTGCCATTCCAGTGTTTGACGTTTCCGTTATGGACCTTGCTTCTCCTACCGGTGCCCGAGGCAGGCTCCACATGGGCAAGAAGGGGCAGGCAGCTGCGCCAGAGGCTGTCGAGGCTGGGCACGAAGGAGGGTTCCGGCGAGGTGTCAGCTAAAGGCTTCGTCAAGCATGTCTGAGAGGATCCAACTGACGATGAAGAGGAACGAGAGGCCGGGTTGTGCAGAGAGCTTCCTGAGCCGAGGTAGTGCTAGATAGTGTGGAAGTAGAAGGCGTTTGCAGCCAGTGCAGGTGGATGCTCCACTTCCACCCGAGGCAGTTTGGCGCCCGGGGGAGACGAGGTATTCGGGCCCAAAACCCAAACGAGACCAAGGCCTCCAAGATTCTTGAGGCCTTGGACTGGCAGGCGCCAACTTCGCAAAACATTGGGCACGCCGTCCAGAAGCTTGCCCAGTGCTTCTGAGAGGTTTGTGTCATGCCTTCGACCCGGCAGAGATACTTCTATTCCAAGACAAGGTGCTGCCGCTCCGATGTGCCTCGCATGTGCCTGGGCACTTTTCTGCCCCGATGTGTAGGCGGCAGGCACGAGTGCAGCCGCCCTACCATTCCATTTTGGGCTTGGAGGACACCTTCTCGTATTATCCCAGTTGGATTGATCGTACATGACATGACCTGGCGCATGGATGGTGCAGCCACGAGCATCATGAGCAGGTGAGCAGTCAACAGCCGTGTCAGCATACACATTTCTCTTCCCCTGCATCTTGTTCAGAGATGCAGAAAACAAGGAGAATATGCTAGCCCTGCATGTGTCGCCAGCTCATGGTTGGCCGCACTCTTTAGGCTCAGCAGCCTTCTTCCCACGAATCCTAAACCGGTCGGATTGCATCTCCGAGGGAGCATTCGATGCAAAACCGTCCGCCAGCCTCCACGCTTCCTGAAGGTGCAGAGACTGTTTTCGCTCGTGCATGTTGCTGTCTTGTTTTCAGTCTTTTCTTCTGGAGGCTCAACTGCTGTCGGCCTGGATCTGTGCCTGTCTGTGTCGGGGCCTCAAACATTTTTGGCAACGGACTCGATGGCTCGCAGGGGCTGTTCTAGTTGGCTTACCAGGCCCGTTGCTTTGCGGACATGGGCTTCTGCATTGTTGGTCCTCGACCTGGAGGTGGATTGAGATGCGCCTGTACTCCAAACATCTCGAAGCATACAACATTTTGCTTAGCTGGGTGTCCGTTTCCTTAGGACTGTCCAGGTGCCTCACAGCTTGCCTATACTCTCCTGAACCTTGCAAGGGCTTGCCATCCTTGTCTGAACCACGAAGAACCTATGCGGAGCACATGCAAGCAGCAAGTCCCATGACCAATGTCGACATTCCGAATCACCACATGCATGGCGACGCATGCCGCATGCCTGACCTTTTGCCCTCCACGATCCAAGCCTCGTTCATGTCGCCACAAACTCTACATAGCCCTGGTCAGCAGGGCGCAATGTCGCAGCATCTGCAGACAAGAGCTCTGGCTGACTTCGAAAGCTGCTCCGAATATGAGCCTTGCTGTGGAATACTTGCCAGAATCGGCACCGCAGTCTGTGTTGCCCATTCCTGAACCTTTCCCAAAGCATGTATCAACTTGGGAAGATGCAAGTGCTTAAGGAGGAGGAGGCAAAGAAGTGCCTCTCCGAATCCAGCTGGGACTATATAGCCGGAGGCGGGCATGCGGGTAACTTGCGCGGGCAACTAAGCGTATAGCCGAGCAGACGACCTTGCGGATGAGCTGATGTCGTTTGGGTTTGCCACACTTCGCTGGAGTAAGTTTTGGACTGGTTCCGGAAGGCAGGTCGTGCAGTTGCTTGAACTCTTTGCCCCTTCGGCCATTGGATGTCGTGGATCTTTACTGATTCCTTGCCTGACGAGGGGAGAGCGACACCATGCAGCGCAACCTGGATGCTTTCAAGTCATTGGCGCTGCGGCCGCGGATTCTGCAAGATGTCTCTTGCATCAGCAACCTGGCACCGTCACCATGAACAAGTCGAGAGATCATCATTTGTTTTCTGACAGATCTATGCTTCGGTTGCTCTGCTGAGGTGTTGACTGCAGTATCTTCGGAAAGCACTGTGCAACTCCGATCTATCTCAGCTCACTTGCCAAGGGCGGCTTGGTTTCCAAGGGTGGGGAGGCTACCTTCGTCCGTGCTGCGGCCAGGTGTCGGACGAGGTTCCCCGGCTTTTGATTGTACTAGGGGACTTGCATGTTCATTGTGTTGCCATGCCCTGTCTGAGTCTAGGTTCATCGTTCCGTCCATATCAAGTGTTCCCCTTCGTGATGTATGGGCCGCATCCGAAAGTTGCGATCTGGCTTTCCAGTTCTACCTTCTGGGCGACGAAGCTTCCAGTATTGAGCGGCTGCACGAAGCGATTGCCCTCGGTGCATCTGCCATCGTTGTTACAGTTGATGCCAATGCTCCACGAAAGGGTGCGCTTTTCCGTGCAACAGCTGGTGCGACGGGGGTCTTTCCGAGCCCGAGGCTGTCTTGGTCTCGACTGGCCGAGCTTAAGGCAATGCTGCCAAGAGGGATGCCGATGTATTTGAAGGGAGTCCAGACGGCGGAGGATGCTTTGAAAGCTGTGGCGGTAGATGTGGCGGGCATCATTGTTTCGAACCATGGAGGTCGAGTGTGTGGAGATTCGACGCCCGACGGACAGACTGACTTTGGGAGTCGTGAAGCAGCCCCTGACAAGAGCATAAGGGCATGATCCTGCCGGAATGTTGTAGCCACGATCTAAAGACAGAGAGTTTTTCTGCCCCTCCATCATTTCTAGCTGAACCATCTTTAAAGTTCAGGCCCAAGGCTTGAAGATGAAAGACCCTTGCGCTCGTCTCTGAGGACGGCGGCCTTGCACTGCCTGGAAGACGTAGCTTCGGCTCTGCGCGCTGCGGGCGTGCTGGGGAAGATCGAGCTTTACTTCGACAGTGGTGTTCGGAGTGGCCGAGATGCTTTGAAGGCCTTGTGTCTTGGAGCTACTGCTGTTGGGATCGGCCGTCCGTATTACTGGGCCGCCGCGTGCCACGAAGAAGATGGCATCGTAGCCCTCTTGCAGATGCTCACTTCAGAGCTGCAACATGCCATGGCTCAAATCGGAACAAGCACTTTGCATGAATTGTCTCCCGACAACTTGTGCCGCATGGTGCCTGCGCCTTCCAGACTGTAAAGGTCAAGGTTTCGAGAAGAAGCACAAAGCTTGCTTTCCATTGCTGCCGGCAGCAAAATCCGTTTGGAGTACAGCCAATCGTTAAACGTTATACGTGCAGCGTCGTGCAGCAGTAGCAGCCTGTTGCAGTCGACTCTGCTCGCCCGCAGAGCGCACCGATCGATACCTGTGGGTAGCATAGAGTGGAGACATGTGCCCAGTGAGGACTGAATAAGCTTCTGTCTGCGTGGGTTTGATTTCCGTGCTTTGCAGGGACGGGCCAACGGGACCCAACGCCTGCACAGCTGGGAAATCACTGCAGTGCAGCTGTTTCCATGATTCAGTCTGCAGGCGGAGAGCCTGGAGTGAAGATGCAGATGTGGTGTTGGCCTTAGTGCCGCTGACATGAAGAAACAGTGGGAGATCGAAGCTGGACTTGCTTCCAAGTCTGCATGTTGTGTAAAGACAGGCCCAAGCCTTCGGAGCTGCCTTTAGAAAAAGTATACTTGCAGAACCGCTTCATAATTCTGTTTCCGTGGCCAGCCCAGGCAACAAGTCTGCTGGTACGAGATGCTCCTTCGCAACTGGTGCAGGGAAGCATGGTTACAACGCAAGTATCTGAAGTAGAGGCAGCAAGGGCAAGCCTTGAAGAGCAGATTTCCCAAAGCTACGATGGCAACGTTCTTCTGCTTTGTAAGCAGTGTCGTTCCACGGTGGCAGCTTTGAGATTTTGTACAGGCAGCTCCAGGCACTTCAACCCACACGGATACCTTTTCCATATCGGCGAGTTTTCAAGGGCGGCTGGAGTGAAGGCAGTCGGTGAGGCCTACGACACAGATTCCTGGTTCGAAGGGTATGCATGGCGCATGGGCATATGCCGTCATTGCCAGACCCATCTGGGCTGGCGCTACGAAGGCGCTGTGAACTCTGGCACATTTTGGGGCTTGATCTGGAATCGCATGCTGAAGGCTCGCCGGCCAGACCGCTAGAAGCCGCTAGAAGCCGCTAGAAGCCGCTAGAAGCCGCTAGACCGCCAGACTGGTTGGGCTTCCGGCGCGCTTTCAGACGGGCGGCAGACCGTTGCCGTTCTCAACTCGACTCTTTCTTCATGGTCTGGTTGAAAGAAGCTCTGCAGTTGACGCCGAGAGTGTGGCTTCGGAACAAGGCGTGCATCAGGGCAGAAGCTCCAGCGGAATACTCAGCTTCAGCAACTGCTGACAAAGTGCGTCCCGTTGCCGTGCGACCAAAAGCGGCGTGAGTCTGCTGGCTAAACGGGGCAGCAGAGGGGCAGGTCTGTAGGGCGAGTGCTAAGGCCTTAAATGACCACGCAATCCGCACTGAGCCGACAGCAACACGTGGCGAGCTTTTGCAGGAGGCCAACTTCCGAAACCTGACCAAAGACGACCTCTGGAAGGAGGGGTGTGTTCTGCTGCGTGACCACTTGTTCTGCAGATTCTTGCAGGCATTCTTTGAGAAGAGGGTGCAGTACAAACGTCGAGAGGCAAACGGCTCGCTCTCCGAGGATGCCCCACCTAGTTTTACTATCTTGTTAATGGTACGGAAGGGTGCAAAGCAGAAAACCATCGTTCGTGTTCCACAGTGATTGCAACTATGGGGCTGCTGGCTGGAAGCGGACATGCGACGCGAGAGGAGCTAGAGAACTCCAGCGACCAAGTGGACTGGGACTTGGTGATGGAGGCTCGGTGAAGCGATGCAGCAGGATGCAGCATTCGAGCTCAGTATAGCTCAGTGTTGGGGCCTCCTGTGAAAGGCATTCCATGTCCTGTCCGGGCACGAGGCGAGGATCGTGGATCGTGATGTGAGAGGCTGCGAGGTTCGACGTTTTCTGGCCTGGCCCGGAGGCGCGCTCGGCCTACGAGCAGGGCAATCTGGCTTCCCATGCACAGCCCAAGGCTTAGAAGCCTCTGATTAAATCAAAGGCGTAGTTCGCATAAGCGTCTCATCGACGAGTCTCAAGCCACGTGAGACCTCTTTCGGTCCTTTTTGTGTTTTGTGTTCGTTTGGTTTTGCTCTGCCCGAGGCGGCAGCTTCTTGGGCTTAGGGCCCTGGCCTCGCGCTGGGAGGGTGTGGAGACAGTTCCAAGCGATGGGTCGGAGCAGTGCATCGATGTACTTGGGCTTGGGCTTATCCAGCAGCGACCTCACTCTTCGCACTCTTTGAGGTCATGCACGAAGCCAGGGTCCAAGAGGAGCAGAGGCGACAAGCCAAGGACTGCACAATCCCACAAGTAAGCTCGGGTAGTACTACATTCTGAGGACGACTCTGTCAGGAGGCTGCAGCTGTAGAAGATCAGGAATGACGTTTCCCCGAAGGCAGCGCAGTGGTGCGGTGCGCGTGTTGGGTGCAGAGTTCGCCGAAGCTAAGCAAGCTTCTCAGCTTTCCTGTGTCCGGTCTCACACGCTTTGTCTCACGGAGCATTGTGGTTGCGACCCGAAAGAGGAAAAGAAGATTTCAACACGACCGATGTATACTCTTGGCCTCCTTTCTAAAGGAAGTGGCGAAGTCTTTTGGACCGGGCTATACGGGTGTATGCTGCCTATATACCGTCTGCTCAAAGGGGTTGGTCCCGGCGCAGAAGCCTTGATGTGGCCTTGGCCTGCTCCGGCCACCTGACAAAGTCTCGGGGTCAGCTGCTGAGCGAGAGACCGCGTCAAGAGCCCTCCCTGCCTTTCGGCTTATGCTTTGTATGTCCAAGCCTGCACTTCCAGGCATCAGATGTTTTTCAGAACTGCAGCGGTGCACTCAGATGTCACAAGATTGCAGTAGAACGCAAGCACTATGCGAGCGCGGTGGCTGGATTGCTACGAGTACTTGGATGTCGGCATCGGTAGGGTCGAACAATTCGGTGAGTCTTCAGTCGACTGGCTAGGCTGTTGTCTGCGGCCTTTTTTTCTCCACCAATGCTCAGGCACGAGAAGCTTTGCATGTTGGCCTTTCGGCAGCAACTTTCGGCAGTCCGAAATGGGCAGGTGATGGACGACTACGAGTACGACCCAAACGTCCCCGATGAGCCCTTTGACACAGCCGCCAAGGCGGCGGTTTAGTGATGTTCAGTGCTTTGCTTTGCAGCTTCCGAAGCTCTTCGAGGCTTTGATAAGTTTTGTCTCCGAATTGGTCTCGCACTGTCATGGCACCCTCGCAAACGCAATTCTGCTTGAGGGGGTGTCCGCCTGGCTCAAGGACGAGGTTGTCAGCGGCCCGGTTTCGGTTCCAAGGCTTCAGCTTCGTGTCATTGGCGCTTGCAATCTTGGCATTTGCCCAGTTGCCCAGGTAGTGCCTAGAAAGAAGGATGGTTGGCAAACGGCGTTCTGCCTCTGTGCCGGAGGCTTCAGCATGCCACAAAAAACATGCTCTGACGAACGTTTACAGAAGCTGGCAGCTCTGAAGCGAAGCACTTTCAAGTCGTAGGCAGTTGATGCACAATCTGTTGCTGTTTCGGAGCTGAGGTTCAGAACTCAAACATTGCTAGCTGGTACCAGGCGCTGCTATCCAATTCCTGTGAATGTCGTCTGCGTTAGTCTCTGATGCCAGCCGCGGGCTGCATCCGGCTGCAGGGTTTGTCGCTTTTCATCAACTTTAAAGACGCGTGACTGTTCAGTTCGCCTCTTCGATGTACGTGGTCGACACTTGCAGCCACGAAGATGGTTTCGTTCTGCGTTCCGGCCACATGCAGGACATGGTACGGGGTTCAAGCAAGCTTTGGGTATAAGTCTTGCGGGTGCTTCTTGACCTTGCGCAAGGCTGTATTACATTGGGGGTTTGACTACTGCTCGGGAGGATGGGATGCCTTTGACATGTCACACCCGCAGATGGAAGAAGCAGATTCTTATGACACGGGTTACGTCTGAAAGGGTTTGTAAGGGAACGGTTAGTATGAGCGCAAGGACCGCCATGTCCATCCTATGCAAGCAATGATGGCTTGCGACACGCTCAAGGTCGTGTCGTGCACCTGGCGACATTTACGGGCCAATCAGGCATCGACGAATAGTCGAGCCTTCTGGATTGATGGTCAGCATTTCATGTCCGCAGGGGCTGCAGTCCTCTTCCATGCAGCATGTGGTTAGCTGCTTGCACTCACTTTACTCTCTGCTTCGATCACTGTCTCCGGAGTCAGATGAAGCCGAGGGTGCAGAGCAATATGCCCCTACAGTAGCGTTCGTCGCTACTAGTAGAGACTTTAGGTGCGGGTGAAGCATCGCCAAGCACGCTGTTGTTGAGCGCTGTTGTTGACACACGGCAGGTACTGCTTGTCGCACCAGGCCCCAGAAGCACTCCCTATGTGGAAACCTATGTGTGTCTTGATTGAACCTTCATCCTGGTGAACTCGGGTGGCCTCCGATGCTGAGCTAAGGCGATCATGCCCACTACACCGTTCCATCGTGCGACGTGACGGCCTAAGACCTGCATCCTTCTGTCGCCCTAGCCCGCACAGGTACCATGATGAACCTGCGTAAGCTAGGAAACAATTCCCGCAACACAGCTTTGATTTCGCAGTGCGAAGTGCCACCCCGGCATGTGCCGACGCTCAGGTTACCTGCAGCTCAGCAGTGCGCATTGCTGGCAGTTTCGCTGGCGCTCTGGCGCTAGGCCATTTGCCAAGCTAATCTGTAGAGGTAGATGGCACTCGTCTCGGTGGTCTCCTGCCCAGACTCACTCTGGCTCGCCCTAAATCGCACCGATCCGTCAAGAATACACAAAAACGCCGACCTCCACGGTAAGCCGGACTGGAATCCTCGAGATCTTGAAAGAGCCTGCAGCCCCTCGCGTTGACAGAGCTCAGAGTCAGCGGTTTTGGCCGGCTCGAAAGTACTTGCTGTCAGCAGCTGTCAGCAGTCCTCTATAGGAGGAGGAGAGGAGCACCGGGCCGTGGAGGAGGATCCGCCGCGCGGCGGTCGAGTTTACTGCTTGGAAGCGGCCATGGGTTAGGAACATGCCGAACTCTCCGTGCAGGCTTTCAATCTTTTTAAGGTTTGGGGGTTTGCTGTGATGTCGTGCTGCAGCTGTGAAAGTTATGCAGCATTCATAGATGTGCCCCCGATGCTTTGCGAAGTCAATGGCTTGAGTGTGTAGGCCATTCCACAAATACACCACTCCACGCGGCCAGACCCCCAAACCAATTCCGTCTCGGAAGACCCTCCCTCCCCTCCCCTTCCCTCCACTCAATGATGCATGCGAGCGCGAACGGGAGGGGGCTCTTGGGGTTGTGGGGAGTGCCGCCATTGTAGGTAGGCGGGCAAAGCATTGAGTATACGGTGTGGCCTGGAGCCGCACCCGACTGCGACTCCAGCCACTCTTGACACAGATAATTATCAGATAATTGCCACTAGTTGCCTCGACCATGACATGCCACCAAAGGTTTGCGCAAGTCAGGCTCGTAATCATGACTTAGATTTGACCCCCGAGCCCGAGCCTGGTAATTTTGGTGATGATTGCTGCGATGATGTTGATGACGCTGATGATGATAATGATGATGGCGGCGATGGGATGGTGTCAAAACCTTTCTCGCATCTCGCAAAGCTGATATCAGCTGGTCCTTCCGACACAGGTCTTGCAGGTGATAGTTGGACACAGTTGGGAGAATCAGGTAGACAGACACTTATGTGCTCAGTGTGAGCTTTCCTGTTTTATCACTGATTTGGCTTGTCAGTCGCTTGGGTGTGGTGAACGTGGTGATCTGAAATTGTTGCCCCTGATCGCAAATTTCGGAGTGGTGTCACTTCCAACTGCCCCAACTGGGGAAGGGAGGTTGGGCCCAAAATTACTGCACGATGTACCTGTCAGCTCAAGCTAAAGCTCGGAAGTGGCCCAACCTTGCCGCAACAGCCTTTGGCCGTCTCTGTCCAACCAGGGTATGACGTGAATGTATCTGTAGAGATGCAAGATTCTATGTAGGATGTTCATGATTTGTTCGGGAACATCTGGTCAAAGATGCAGCCTCATGCACATTGCGACCATGGATTAGCTGAGCGTGGCACGCAAAAATCGATTGGTGCACAGGTCGCTACTCCACGAACCTGAACCTGAAGTCGGACATGAGATTGACACAATGCCTTGTGATGTTTTGTGGTCGAGCTGCTAGCAATTGGCTTGAATCTCGTCGTTTTCGGGTGGAATACTCATGTTATGCAGTACATCACTCAGGGCAAGCACTCCCAAAGTTTTTCCTCAGACGTCATCGGCAAGGTCTCTTGACATGACTTAGCCCCAGACCTGCATTGTACGGCTGCCATGGCTGACGCCGTCCCGGATGATGTGGCGGACACGGCGCAGGTACTGCAAAACAGCGAGAAGTTAGGGTTCACACGCCCCAGTCCCGTCCCGACTCCGTTCCCGGCTTGGAGGTTGTGCCTTCCAAAACAATGAAGAAGCTGCCGCTCGGCCCACCTGCCGCCAGAAGCCCTGCTCCTAAAACTGTCTCTAAGGCAAAACTGCTGCCCTGGACTTCGAAAGAGAAGCCGCGAGCCTTGGGTTTTGTTGGTCGCACCCTCGCGGCCATGCAAATGATTTCCAAGGCCAGTATTTTGACCAATGGCTCAGCTCCAGATGGTCTCTTTCGCAGAGTGTCAGCGCCTCTTGGGGCTGGCTGTTTCTCAGAGCCTTGGGGGCTGAAAGCTTCTTCAGGTCTGCCTTCTCACAGTTTTTGTGCTTAGCTGTTCGTGGCCCAGCTCGCGCGAGAAGTTCAAGGCCTGGTCAAGGATGTTCAAGACTCTCGGCGAGGCTCCGGCAAATTCGTCCTGGGTGAAGTCGTTTACACAGAGAGTGCCGCACTAAATCCTACCATTTCATCGGTGCATTGGGAAGCCATTTGTTCTTCACCTGTGGGAATGGAAGCAACTCGATTCTTGAGGTATCAACTACTTCTCCTACCAGGTAGTCACCAACGCAGCATCACTGCTGTCATCTCTGACGGTATCCTTCACTATTGAAGGCACGAAGGAATATGAAGGAATCAAACGGTGTTGAGCAGTGCACGGACTTGCGGGATGCCCTTTCCGGTGCTGTGAGGCTGCCATGCATATCAGAAAATCTTCTCTGGAAAAGCACTGTGGCGATTCACGGGTGTGTCCTTCTTGTTCACCTGTGCCAGTGTCTGAGTCGCTGTTTGCTTGCAGCTGTGCAGGGAGTATAGTATACAGTGCGTGCAGAAAACGTGAAAAGGCCAGTGCATTGGTGGCGCTCTCTCGATGGGCTGGTACCTCCAATGTTCAGATAGTGACTGTGCCTCCCTCTGAGACGTAGTCCTTTGCCCCATGCGGCTGAAGTAGCTGCTGGACCCAGGTGGGATACTTGTATCTTCCCTTTTCCGTCATCATGAGCTACTACGTCTTCAGCCGTTACTGGATGGCAGATGAGTGTTTTGGCAGATTCGACCACGAGAGAGAGCATCAGCATAATGCAGGTAATTACGGCAAGCTGGAATGGCTTCAGCCCCAGTCTTCGAACGCACAGGGCGAAAGCGTATGCCATACAGTGCATGTGATATTGCTGCAGAGCATGAGTGGAGTACTGCAAGCTTGTCGAGGCTCACCCTAGGCATGATGACCATGGCAGTTCTCACCTTTGTCATGCTGCGAGAGCAGCCGGCACCCTAGCATCCCAGCAAATGTTGCCGAAGCTGATGGGTGCATGCGTGTGCGAGAATCTGTGCGTCTGAGCGAGCAGTGCAGCGTCTCAGCTTCGATACAGTCTAAGGTACCGAGACCTGGAGGAGGGAGAGGGAGAAGGGGATGGCCACCCTCTTGACAGGAGGGGTGGGGAAGTCGGACTCGTCTTCAGCCGCCCAATTGCCCTTGCATCAGGCTGAAGAAGTCTTTCACTCCCGCCGGCTTCTCTTTGCTAGTCTGCACCTTGGGCTCATGGCTCTTGCTGAGGCACAGCAGGGCAAGGAGAAGGGAAGCCAGTGATCAAATCTATTGTAGTGTTGGCATGTGTTGGCTGCGGGGATCCGGCAAGGGTCGGCAAGCATGTTGTGATTGTGTGGCACTTTCCCTTGACCGAGGTCTGTGCAGTCATCCTGAGCGCAACAGGCTGCTAGCTGCTGGCTCGAATCTCCAGCTAGCCAATATGTTTGCATTTGGCTCCGTGCAGGCTCCATTTTTGCCGAGAGAATTTACAAGCACAAATCGACCTGAGCTCGGATTGGCTGTGAGTGCATGCTTGAGTTTGCGCTGCAGACTTCAAAGGCGTGGGCTGACCTGGTGGCAGGGCCGTTTCTACATCATGAAGGCGTGTTTTGGTGTCCGGCGAAGGCTAAGCCAAAGTCCATCGAGTCAGGTGCACATCGACGTCACCGCCCTTTTCCTTTCACTCATCCTGTGGGGCATTAGCCACGTTCTCATAGGCCACTCCGTGTGTGTGTGTGTGCGCAACCTTGTTAGGGATAGGACTGGAAAGGATTTCTGAGTGTCTTGCATCTTAGCAGGGGGGAAGTGGCCCACTCAAGAGTCCACTGCCAACGAAGCTACTCTTGAGTTGGGAGGATATCCAGGCTGATCACCTGGACGTACCTGCAGCCTATTTTTTCATTGTGTTTCCGGGCAGTTTCCGGGCCAAGCATTCTCGATGTTAGGTTGTTGTGAAACACACATGTGTGTGCATTAACAACCGCAAACGGCGTAGCTCCTGAAGCACTCCGGCTCGACGCGTACGACGCCTAAAACCTTTCTCTTAGCATTTTCCTGTGCCTTTCGGCGGTCATGGCTTCCTAAGACTCCACGGCGGGTGCCCTTCAGCTTGTTGCTGCTTTGGCGGCGACGCGGCGCACGGGTATCGTGCCTGTGGTGGGGTTGCTGACGGCGGACCAAGTGGCGGACCTCAACGACGTCACGACGGCCGCCAACTTGGTACAGGAAGGGATTGTAGCATCGGCGTCGGCGGAGGTTGTTCAGAATTTTTCCCTTTTGGCTGGAGGAGGCGTCGGCGGAGGATCGATGTTGCCATCGGGTGCCCAGACCCCGACTTCGACGATTGTGGCGACGAAGTGCATTCCTGACATTGGGATGATGACGGCGCAGTCGGCGCCGAAGAAACCACCAGCGCCAGTTCCGGCGGAGTCCGATCGGCGCTTCGCCCGGCGGGATGGGGAATCGTCCCGGACCACGAGCTCCCGACAAAGGCGGCGCCGATTCCCAGATCAACGGCTACCTCAACTCCAGGGACACCGGCGTCTTCGAAGGTGCCGCTCAAGGCCATCCCGACGAAGAGGTTCCCGACATCTCCTAGGGCTACGGCGGGACCTTCGACGCCGGCTGCTCCAATGGCGCCCATGCCTTCGGTGCCGCCCACTCCTTTGCCACAGACGACCGGCGGCCCTACACCGGCGGACTTCCAGAGGCTAAGGCCAGGGCAGCGGCGAAGCTGGCGGCGGGGGTCAACCCCTTCGATGCGGCCATCGCGATGAGTGCTTCAGGAGATCAAGGCGGCGCTCGACGTCCAGAATGCGGCGAGCGGCTCCTTCGGCGGCTTCTACCAGAGCGGCGTCGCCGCGACGACGCTCACGGCACCCCAGCCTGAGCCGACGACGGGAAGGACGACGATCCACCCTGGACTTGGGCATACCGGCGGTGACGACGGTGGTGGCGGACACCTACCTGGACACTCCGGTCGCTGCGGCGCCCGCGGCGCCGGCGAGATCGACGACCCCTCCTGCACCAGTGCCCCACCTTCGCCTGTGGTGGCACCGGTGCCCGCCCCGACGACTTCGGCCCATCCCTGCACCTGTCCCGACGCCGGAGGTGGCGGAGGCGGATCGGCCAGAGCCTGGGTTGCAGCACTACCATCCACACGACGAAGAAAAAGAGCCGTCCAGTTTTGGCGTCTGAGCTAGGAGTGCGGCGGTTGTTTCTTGAGAGAAACTGTAATTTGGGGGTATCCTCTAAAGTCATCACACATGTTTTCTTAACAGGAATCTTGTACCCTACTTGGCTTCTTTCTGGGCCTCTACTTGGCGTCTTTTTCTGCCTCTCCTTGGATTCTTTCTGGGCATCTGCTTGGCATTTTATCGGGGCCCAAATCCCTTACCTCTCGCGAAGGGAATCCCAAGCGGACCTTGTTGCCTTAACCATAAAACCGAAACCGAAGCTTAACAACCCATCCAATCACCGACTTAACGTCCTGACTTGCTTGTGCCGGGCGGCCTTGCTCGATTCGAAATCCTAAGCCCATCGGGGAATTCGCCACCTAAACTTCAAAAGCCTTAAGTCAAAACCCTAAAAACCATAATTCCTCAAACTTAAAGCTGCGCCGAGGGTGAGCGGGATTGCAGTGCATCTCTTTCGCGCCTCCCCACGACCTTCAGCTTTATTGTACGGGGCACACAGTGTACTTTGTACATGTACGAGCAGCAACACAACGGTGGGCACTGCTGTTTAGCCTGGCCGTCTGTCTCACTACAAAAGCACGACAGCACGATCCTAGTAACATAAAAATATGATGTCCGGAACCACATTCTACTAACCTAGCCAGCATCTAGAAAGCCTTTGGTATGATTCGGGATGTTTCGTGGGAGGATTCCAAACAAGCATCGGCTGTCGAGCTGCAGCGAGAAGAAAGAAACCCGGTGCTGAAAGACCACATGTCAAACGCTAGCTGTGCAGGCACACAGGATATGCTCACATATGTGAGAGGACATGCACTGACTAGCAGCCGAAGACTGAACTAAATTACAAGCTTGCATCGCATGAAAAGCCAAGTGCACTTACTTGCTTCCGCCTTTGGCCCTTGACGGAAGTTGCACGTTTCTTGAGGATGGGCTTTGCTGCAAGATTCTTCGTATCCAGCAAACCAAGGCACGTAACGACCAAACCCAATCTCGTCTCCCCGGGCTGCAAGTCACGACACAAAGCCTGCCCCAGTGTGATGCTCGCATACACATAGCGAATGGTTGCCATCGTGCGCTTTTCCAAGGCCTTGTCCTCAGGGTTTAGCCCAAGCGGCTTAAACTTCAAGCGGTTTGGGGATTAAGCTTCGGGTTAAAGTTTTAAGGTTTAGGCTTTTGGGTTTCGGTTGGTTTAGGAGAATAGGACCGGCTGCATCGGCTTGCCACTGGCCAACAGCCTGAATTGCACGAGGTCATTCGAGAGAACTCCAAGATGATTTGCAGATTGAATTGAAATCCAGGTTGGTGTTCCGACCTGCGCCGTCGTGACCTCGCCAATGAATGATGCCATCTCGGCCGGTGAGCGATCTGCGTTTGCAAAACCGAAAGTCAACTGCTGCAGGGATGCATGTGCACACAACTTGAGCATGGCAGCCTTCTCACCGCGCCCGGTTTGGACGAGGTTCCGTTCCGCATGCACTTGGATACCGTCAGAGTCCTCCGAGAGCTCTTGGATGCAAGCGCCAACCGCCGCGACGAAGATGTCTTTCACCCCGCTGTAGAAGTGTTCGACATACATAAGGCCAAGAAGCACCGGCACCCTGGCAAGCAACCTTGTGCATCTCATCGAAAGCTTTCGTTGCTGGGATAGAATTACCGAGAGTCACCTGACAAGGAATAATTTTAGACGTGCGTGTTTTCCAAGCAAACGGCTCCTTGCTGCCCGATCGTGAATGCAACCACATCTTCTTGAGCATGTCAAGAAACACGAAGCCGTCTGTGCCCTGGGCAATCTTATGCTTGAACACCGTGACTCAGACACACTTCTCGATTATCAAGAGGGATCCTGCTATGCACAGAAAAGACGCATGCACAGGTTTCGGTGTGGTGGCTTCATCCTCGGACTTGATCTCCAATTTGACGATGCTGGCAGAACTGAAATGCCTGAAGTAAGTATGGATTGCCAGCCCCCAATCCAGACCGGCATGCTGCTGCTTGGCATCTTGCCCATCCTCCTTGTCGTCCTTGTCCACAATGCCCGAGCGTTTCCAAGAATGTCTTCTCGGAAGGCTTTGTGAGCACGAACGACACTCAGGCTGCAACAGCATGGCGGCAAATCTCACAAAGGTAGTCGATGTCTGCTGCGACAGACAGCTGTGGATGCAATCTTGGAGCAAGCCAAGTCCTCGATCAAGGTTGGAAGCGAGGGCCTGCGCTTGATATGGCCTGCCGCTATCACTCAACATGTCGAAGGTCGACCAGAAGGGGCTGCGCCAACACCTCCTTGTCAACATGGTCGGCCATGACCTTCACGATGAGTGGGTAAGCGCCCCTCATCTTATAGATATTCTTGGTCACTGCTTGGATGTCATCTTCAAGTTTCTTTGCTATGTTTGCCGAGCAGCTTGATCAGGGATACCTTGGCCAAGGGGTTTCAAGATCCCAGCTGACGCCGCATTTGATGCACGGGGGGCTCATCGTCTAGCGCGGCGCCTGTAGCCACTTTCATTGCGACGGAGTAGAAATCATATGTCTCGTACTCCTGCGGTTCTGCGTGACCACTCTGCGGAGTGCATCGTGGAGTTCTTGCACCTTCTCCGTCAAGACGACGACATGTCCTTCGGATGCCTGTTTTTGGGCTTCGGTGGCAGTCATATCGAACACCTTATGTTGCGACGGTATGGATACCTCGAGCGCCCCATCCTTCGACTTGAGCAGCAACTTGAGCAAAGCCTCGGCTGTGATGGCTTTGAGCCCCTCAGCAACGTTGGCCATGCTCGACTTCGATACAAAGGATGGGCACCCTTGCGAAACTGCTGTGTGAGCTTCGAGGCATGGACACAGATCTGGATGCCGATGGGGCACGTGGAGACAGCAGCATAGAACACACCGGTCTTGTTCTTGGCGAGGGCCTCTGCAAGGATGCACCCAGGAGTGCCTGCCTTTTTTCAATTCCATCCACGATTCGACACTTAGCGTCTGTCAATTCCTTGCGCAAGTCTGAAGCCAACCACTCACGACAATATGTATGAATGTCCTGGATGATTTTTCTGCATTTTCGCCTCCTTCGGATTTTCGGCTTCAGCCTCATCGTTGCTTGCGGGTGCGCAGGAGGTGATGAACAGAAGGTTCAAATATGCAGCCAAGCAGTTACACTGTAAGTCGCGAATCTCGGCTGGGATGTGGTTGTCCGGTCTGTCGTCTTCTGCGGGAGGCATCAAGGAGCCCACGCCAGCAGGGTAGTCCCGGGTTCAAGAACTTGAAGACCGATGCAAAGTCGCGGTTCTGGGCCATCTCTTCAGCCGACCATCGGCACATAAGACAGGTTACACGCTGCGGAAGCTTCACATCCGTTTCTGATTCCAAAGTCCGAGCCCGAGAGGAAACAGTGGCTGGGGCTGCCTCCGCATCGTGCAATGCCTCCAGAAATCCCCAAAGCACTCTTGGCGGATTTCAAGCCGTCCCATACAACGGCTGCTCGCGAACCTGGGCCAGAAGCCCTGACGCTCTCCATGTAGATGCCGGCGAGGTCCTCGGCCAACCTGCCCTCCGCCTTCTCCAACAGGGCTATCGCTTCAGACAAACTCAGCTTCATAACTTCCTGCGGGTCTGACAAGTGTGCTGCACGAAACTGCTGGTATTCGAGAACGATGGCTTCGCTCTTCTCCAACTCCCTGGACTCGTTGCACTTCTTTTTGGACTGCTTTTCTTTGGTATGCGCGGCAAGGTACAGCTACGAAGTTGATGTTGTCCTTCATCGCCACCGTTCCCCATTCCAGGACTTGTTAAAGTAGGAGCCGAAGCTGGGTCGCCCACCTTGTGCCTCCTGTTCCGACTGGCTCGCTTGTCCTCGTTATCATCCTGGGACTCGGAAGGTTTGGCCTTTGTACTTCCCAGAGGCCGATGCAGATGTACCCCCGGCGCCGACATTGCAGCCGCCCCAGAGGATGCTAGTCATTTGACTTTGCGATTCTTGACGTTGGCCACATCCACGCCCATGGTGCAGCTGATGTTGAAAGGATTTGCTACATGGAAGCAAAGGCCTGCTCATCGTCCGAGTCCTCGTTCGCAGGTGTGGCAACCTGCCTGGCTGTTCGGTGGCGCCGAGGACGAAATCAGGAAGAACTGCTCCTCGAACCTTCTTGCCGAGGTGGGTGATCGATTGCAACCGGTTTGGAACTGGTTTTTCATATGCTTTCAGCAACGAAACCGGCCACAGATAGCCGAGGAATTCCTTCGTCTCCACACCTGCAGTCGTTTCTGCCTCCACATGCACCGTCGCCGTGGCTGCCATGTCGACCTTCTCGGTGATCAGCTTCCCAAGCCAGCAGCCGTACCGAAGTCTGTTCTCCGACGATTGGATTTACTCGTACCTTTCCTCGTGTGAGAGGTCGCCGAAGTCGGGGTCCTCTTGCATGAAGGTATTACGCAGCTTACATTGTGGGCCATAGGGCCATAGGGGCCCTTCTCTTCAATAGACTCGAGGAGGAGGCATCTTTGATGACAGGTTTTCTAGCCGTCAACAAACTCCTCTTGCACGTGAAGCTACAAGTAGCAAGCACTCAGCTCGACACACAGAACCGCAGGTTCAAGGGCAACAGGCACCACGAATCATGCCGCCGACGCTGTGCTGTCACAGGTGGCTGCACGAATCATGCCGACTTTGTGCTGATACAGGCGGCTACGACTGCAGACACAAGCTGTCACAACTTCGTTCTTCCGCGCACACTACAGACCAGAGGACAGTTGCCGAATGTTTTCCATTTCGGAACCGATGCCAGAAGAAATCAGCATCGTCATCACCAGGGGTGCAGCTGAAGAGTTTAGACGTTTTCACCGTTCAGCTTTTCTTTTTCGCACATAATCCGTCGGTTGGCAAAACAATCGGTTAGTGCCTTTGCTTTCTTGAGAGTTTTTCTACGTGTGTGATCAGCAACTTGGATCTAACGTTCACTGCATCAGTTTCCAAACGACTTTCGCGCTGATTCGCATTTGGTGCGTGTGGAAGTACATGTTCCACCAGATCGCCGCGCTCGAGGAACAGCCACGATTTTCCATCTCATCTGCCACTCCGCGTACACCGTTGACCATGTGAATAAGATTTTGCAAAATCGTGTCAAAGATGCCACCGGTCGAAGACCGCAGCTACCATCGTTTAAATTAAACCAAGCTGGCCGACATGTGGCATTTCCTGAGCCCATTACAGCATTAAAAAACTCTAAAACATTGGAGGCGTGGTCTTCGTGCGAGTTGCACCAGATGCCGAGATTACAACAATCTGACTGTTTCTCTCCTGTTCAACAGTTGTAGCCGGTTCTGCTACACACATTGTCACAAGCCCGTGTGGCTTTTCGTGTATGCGCAACCCTGTTACTAAGGGGTAGGACTGGAAAGGATTTTGAATGTTTTGCACATTGGCAGGGGCAGTGGCCCGTTCAAGAGTGCATTGCCAACGAAGCTATTTTTGAGTTGGGAGGATATGCAGGCTGATCACTGGGACATACTTGCAGTCTCTTTTTTCATTGTGTGGCCAAGGGCTAAGCCAAGAACCCCATCGTACTGCTTAGTGGCTATCTGTCCTCGCCTATGAAATACGAAGTACATTGAGAAAGATATCAATCAGTGGGAGGATTGCGCAAGTGTGTGTGTGTGTGTGAATGGGTTGGTGCATGCATTTGAAAATTTCCTGCAACCTGAGATACAGTCAATTGACGGAGTAGCTCTGGCATGGCAGGGCGAGAGGATGCGTTCTCGGACTGGTTTGCGAAATGGGCGAGTACACCCGAGTGGTTCGGAAGCTGGACGGGGAGTTCGCATGAGACTTGCAGCAGTCGCACAAGAGACTTGTTCTGACGTATCGTATTGGTCTACGTCAACGTGCCTTCTTCAAACCCGCCAAAAGAAGCAATAAGACAATGAAGGATGTAAGAAAAGATGGCGATTGAAAAGAAGAGTAAGAAAAAGAAGGACAAGAATAACAACAATGGAAATTGAATAAGAGTAAGAAAAGGAGAATACTAGACTACTACAGTGATAACAACAATACTAGCAAAAATGCAAGAAGAAGGAGAAGAAACAAGAAGCATCGGTGGTGGTTGCGGCGGCAGCAGCAGCAACAACAGAAGCAGAAACACGGCTTCATGCTCGATCGAATCAGATCTGCCTCAACCTCGAAAGACTCGTGGACTGTCCAATTTCTATGCCGGCCATTTTTAGCAGCTAGCATCTGTGCGAGGACGGTCTGGCACGGGCTGATGATCATGGTGGATGTCATCCAAGGCAGCACGCTGTCGCTTTGCGATGCTGCGCCTTGCTGACTTGCATGTCATGCCCGTACTCCGAGCATACCATGCACACATGTATGCCGCATCTCAAATTTTCGCAGCAATAGCAGGATGGTCAGCCGGGTTGATCACCAAGGAGTCCGGGACTTGCCCAACAAATATGTCTTTGCATCACATGACCACATCCGACAGACCGCAGCTATCCAAAATCGTCTGAGCTGCACCCCAACAGTCTCAGGCATTCCACGTCGTTCAAAGCCATCGTGCAGACGCTCTGTTACATCTTCACGATGCTCGTGGAGGTCCATGTTGTAGTGATCTATGGCATGACAGTCAGGCTGACAGTTCGCTGGCTTAGGACCCTGTCCTTGGCAACAGGCCTGGGGAGGGCAGCGTTCAATTCAACGCAATCTCGGAGGCATGCACAAGGCAAACACTGGATGAGACGAGCTTTCCAGGTGGGGGTTCCAGGCGAGAGAGCTGCCTTCCATCATGCCGGATACTTTATTGGCGCGGCATATCCTTGCATGTCGCGGTGTCGAAGCGACAGAAGCAGCAAGGTTGGCGGTGATCCTGGTCCTGTCAGCTATTGTGTTCCAAACTGGCAGGCACTACGTGAAGGCTAGAAATCCGTGTGTCTCTGCATGCTGTCATATGCTGTCCTTCCCCGCTTTCGTCAGCAGGTGCGGGAGAGAGCAGCTTGCATGGCTGCTCGGAGTTGAGAGCGTCCATGATTCCAAGCCTTTCACGGATGCGGACGGGTCAAAGTGTGCGAAGGTCGTCGCCAACAGACCCCAAGCCTCAAGCCGGGCCAGAGGCTAGAAGGATAAGGGCATATAAGGGCCTGCTCAGGCCTCACTAGGCCTCACTAGGCCTCTAGAAGCGAAGAGCACGAGGCCAAGATCAGGTAGATACAAACCGCGCGTTGTGCCGAGGAGGTGCAGTCCAGCACTGGCAGTGATCTTTCCATGCCTGAGGCTCCGAGCATGTCAAGCAACAGTAGAGTAGCACGTCGACGGAGCAGAGGCTTCTGTCTGTGGCCTTCGCTTGCAGCCTGTGCCAGGCGCCGCAGTCCAGTGCTAGCGAGCTATCGCTGCAGGACACCAGGGCGACCAGAAGTTGTGGAGTAAAACAAGTGGCGGCAAGGAGATCACTGAAGAGCCGCGGCAAACCGGCAAGCCGCAAATTGCGGTGCTCCTCACTTCCTGGCACCGTGCCAGCATCGAATCGCCATCGCTTTTGATCGTAGTTCTTTATCGTAAATGTCTCTCGATTCGGCTCAGACTTTTCTAATTGCGGAGGAAGGCGGCGTGTCGAAAGTACTTCTTGATCGTGCTGTACATTGCTGGCAGCTTACAGTCAGTCTTTGCTTGAGCGGCCTCTAAATCCTCCTCGCAATCAGTTGTCGGACGCAATCCGGAACCTGACTTTGGCGAAGGCAGCAGCAATATCTGTGGCTTACATTGCTCAACTCAAAAGTGTCCCGTGCAGCATTTTCATGTGCTTTTCTTCCCTTGAAAGGCCCTCAGCTCGACGAGCATCAACCCAAACTCCATGACCTTAGTGGTCTACTTGACTGGTGTGGTGCGGGGCTCAGCCATCCTCAGCCAAATTCACGCAGAGCCTCTGCCAGCGTCTGCCCTGAGCCCCCAGGTCATTGCGTCCGGGTTGACTCTGTGCGCCTGCGGGAGTGCAAGTCTGCCTCCAGCCTCTCCTTTCTGCCTTTCTCAGGTACGTGGAGGGATGCAGCGGTCTGAAGCAAGGTCCTCGGCCTCCTCTGCTCTGGGCCTCGAAGTAGCATCAGCCTATGCTGCTCCGGTCGGGAAGCCAAGGACAGCATGGAATCCCTGGAAGATCTTGAAGTGCATGCCTCCGGGCTTTCTTTATGTAGGGTTCCCAGCCGTTCTCTGTCACGACAGCTCGATGTCAGAACATTTATTGGGTCTGTACGAAGGCGTTGACCTCGACTCTGATCAACATGGCCTTCTCACAAGGCTTTGTCAGCGCTTGCGAGTCAAACCATGCACGGAGCATACGGAGCATCGCTTGCAGGCATGAATGCTGCGTTGGCATTGATCATTGGAAAGTTTTACACTCCTGTGGCAGCTATCGGTGCAGGATGGGTTGATGTCTTAGTTCTTACAATCTTTGTTGCATGCTTCAGACACGACGCGACATGACCGGAAATTACATCTGAGGTGTTGAGGAAATATTACATGTGGTTGGAGTCATAGCCTCGGCTGTTAACTTCTTTGTCTCGGATAATCAATCCAGCGAAGCCGTATAGTGAATCCACTAACTTGTGCAGACTCAGCAACAGAAGTGCGTGGCGACGGTGCACAATCCAAAACAAACACTGCTGGACAGTCAGGTATGTGGCAATCGGAATCCTGACGCTAGCGAGCATGATTTTTGGATATCTGCAGGCTCCGGAGCTCATGCACATGTTGCATGGATCAGATCTTGGCTACATACCGCGATTTCTGTGTTTGGTGTAGGCCTTCAGTCCTGGATCAAATCCAGAGTGGGCGCAGAAGACCAACTCGCTCCGGGTCGGTGTCCTCGGCTGCTGCGGAGAGTCCCCAAAAACAAAACACCCGAGTTGGAGTGGCAAGGTGGCTATGCTACTGGTTCTGGGTCCCTGGCCTGGTCTGGCAAGCATGCTTGAACTTGGCGCCGGGGCCGACCGAGGCTCCTCTGTTGCGGCGGCCTTCAACTCCCTGCTCACAGAGCGTATCCTGAAGGGGGACGAGGACCGGGCGACACGGGGAGGATGCGGGGAGAGGAGTTGACCGATTGCCGAGGCCCGGTACCACGTACAGAAGGCAACGGGAGCTCGGCGGATTTCGATCACACGCGACAAATACCCTTGCTGCAGGTCCGCCTGGATGCTGCATGTATAATTTCCACAATGGGGCTCATCCCCCTGATCGCGGTTATTTCTTCAAGAGCACAGGACCTGAGAGTCCGTTTCATCCATCATATGAGGCATTTCTGCGGTCTACCACGTGCCAGCGGTGGATCTGCCAGGACAATCCCTGGGCATTGAGACCGGTTGGCTGCACCCTTAAGCTGTTAAGCTTAAGCCGCACCGCCTCTTTGTTACAGGCAGCAGAGTAGCGAAGCTTTGTTTGCCAAGATGCTTCGTGTCCACAAGATTCAGTTTGCCGGCAAGACAATGGTTGCTCTTGGCTCAGAATTGTTTCTTGCCTGTCGGTGTTTGCAGCAAGCTTCTCGTGAGACTGGGTGGGCGAAGACGGAAGGTGAAAATCCAGCCTGTGACTGCGTTTGTGCCAGCGGAATATTTGCTGGCTGGACCAACTGGTCTGCATGAAGACATGAGTAACAATTTCAATAGTCTCACACGAGATTTGAATGGCTGGTGCAGCCATTCACTCTCTTGCAGGATACCAAGCGCCATTGGTGTCATTGTTTTAGCACTGACCATCAACACAGGCCCCGTGCCTGTGCCAATTCCGGTGGTACCAAGCAGCGCTTGTGTGAGAGGCTATGGCTGGCTGGTTGGCAAGCTTGTACAGGCCCGCCACGATGCGCCACGTTGCTCTGGTTAAGAGGGCCTTTACTCCGAGACTGGACCACAGGCCTTCTCGACAGTTGACCGTGCCATTGCAGACGCCTTCAGCTTGCTTCTGGTGTACTTCATAGGCTCGGGTCTGACTCGGGGCTACCAGCATTTGGTTGCAACCTGTGTTTGCATTATCTGGGCTTGCACTGTGCAGGCGATCCGCTGCTGAATGCAACGAACCTGAACAACATGCCACTTGTCAAAGTCATGCACTGTCCAAGGGTCTGACATACATGGCTGGCGGGCTCGAGGTGCCTGAACCTGGTGGCATTCATAGTGCCGCTAAGCCCGGATCCCAGAAGGTCACCTACAAATCAAAAGAGCTCAAGCAGCACGGTAACAATCCCCCATGGTCCACTTTCGAGCAGTTTTGCGGACAGGTACAAGCATCTTCGCTGTGGCATCTTCTGAGTTTCAGAGAGCTACGCAAGCTGCAACCCTTATAGAAGGTGCTGGGCTGGGAATCGGAAGGAGGAGAAATCATCGCAACGTTCTTGCCACATTCTTGAACTTTGCCAGGCAAGCAGACCAATGAGACAGAAGCATCGGACTCTGAAGAAGCCCCTCGGTGCAGATCAAGCATTTGAGAAAGCTGACATGTGGCATGTGGAATCCTCTGACTTCACCTGATTTTGCACGAGTGTGACGACGCGTCAGCTAAGACCCCAAGCGACACTGGCGATTCAGACAGCGACTGTTTGCAGTGCTGTGACGACGAAGAGGCCCTACACCGGAGACTTCGAATCAGAGTCGCACGCTCTGCTCTGCACCTGACGTGCAGATACTCGTGCAGGCTGCCTTTTCGCCATCGAAGGGCTGGGTGTGGGCCTTGCTGAGCTGAAGAGCTTGGGACAAAACATTCGACTCCCATGCTGCTGCCAGAATCGCTAAACATGGTCAAGACACACTCGATACGTGCCTGGCCTGGGTAAACTAGCTCGACATGAACATGTTCGTTTGCTTTGCCTCTCTTTAGCGTTTCATGCATTGTGCCGTTGAGTTGCCGAAGTGCAAAACTTCGCTTGTGGCGGCTGAGCCAAACTATTGTCTCAACGACGGCCGGGCAAGTGCGAGATGTTGGGGAAGATCCGTTGACGAGGGGCGGTTTGTTCTGCCCGACCTTCTGAACTGAATGGTATTAGCTACACCAGTTTGCAGTAATGAAACCGAGACCGAAATCTCGATGCCTGAAGGAAGAGGGAGTAGAATCGACAGGGTGCAATGTTGGTTTGGACAAGGGGTACGGCTTTTCCTGGTTCAGAGAGACCAAGCGCTGTTTAAGCCTAGATTTGCCAGAACAACGTTAATCTTTGCAAAACCTCGTGTGTAGAAGTTACACTCCTTTGTGCATTTTGGCCTGCTGATCCACTAGCACGCAGTTTTACTCTGTCAACCCGCAGCGAAAAACCCAGCTTGTCTGGCATTCTTGTTCAATATCCGCAATCAAACCTAGAATGACATCGACTGTCTCTCTTCGTTCTCCTACCGGGAATCTGCAGGTTGAGGCGAATTGATAGCTCAACATTGACAGCATGTTCGAGAACTCTTGGAAAACAGAGCAGCAAGTCTTGTCAGGGTTGTGGTCTGGCTTCCGTCTCACAGGAGTAGACTTGAAACTGGCGTGGTATCGAATTCATAGACGCATTTTGGAACACCGGGACGAGGAATCTTCAGGGATCTTACAGTGTGTCTTGGCAACTTGGAGCCAGGTTTGGATCAGTTGGAGCTAGTGTTGGCAGAACATGCGAGGGAAGACAAATCCGGATTTGTGGGGTAACCTTGGAAAACGCGTCTCCTTTTCTCGAATTTTGTTCGACACTTTCCGCATGTTTGTTTGGACCCTTTGGCATCCACTCGGCCGGTTCTTCCAAAACGGGATTTGTTTCATTCTTCGGGTCGTGGTTGCTACAACCGTCAAGGGAATTTCTTGTAGAATGCTGCCACGGGTGCTCCGATTGCAGATCCAATTCCGTTTCCACAAGTGTGACGACGCTTCACCCTGTCGTCATTGAGTTGTGGTGCCGCTTGATGGGAGTGCCAACTTCTGATGATAACATGACGCCACATGACGGCGAGTTTTAATGCTTTTGCGGTTTAGCTTTTGTGCATCATGGGCATGGACATTCGCTGACACGTGCGGCAGCAGCTGTTCGGCATGTTGACGCGACCAGACAGGCTGACGGTGAAAGTGGCAAGAGGACACTGCCGTCAGGCGTCGCGGCACATCCAGCTTGCATGTCAGTGTCGTTTTGGCTTGCAGCACAGTGCCACCATGCAACTCGAAGCTGTGCCGGAAGATGGACACGGTGCACTGCAACAGAGAGTTCTGGCGCAGTGTGCCATTCTGTGAACGCCTACACAGGTGACACTGTTGCACCTCCATGAGATTGCTGCAGCAAGGCAGGGAATCGTCTTCCAACGTTTCCTACAGCTTTAGAGATTTCTGTCCACAGAAGTGTCCGGCAGAGATCATCAATATAGAGAGGGCATGAGAAGGCTGCATTGACACTGCCTCAAGAGTGCTATCTTTGCGGACCTCACCAACAAATTCAAGCACATCCTGTGCTTCCCCACATCATGTGATGTTACGCAGACATTTTGGCTTTGGAGGGCTGTGGGAAGAAGAGCATGGCTGTCAAATGTTGTTTCGTAGCCAGTAGCTCGACACAAGCACAGTACTCCACGTTTCGTAAAACTGAAGCTGTCATTGACTTGTGACTTCTTGTTATTGGCTGGTGTCGTTGTTTGGTTGCGAAAAGCCAGCCATGGTTCGCCTCGAAGAAAGCGATTTCTTGACTAAGCATGAGACCGAGCAAAGGTCACTCTCATGGCCTGTCCAAGCGCTCAGGAGTCGATTTTGTCATGTGTCGCTGAGAGATCATGCCCAGGCTCACGGAGCTTTTCGGGCTCAATCGGGCAGGCAAGACCGTTGTCTTTGAGGGTTCTGACGTGATCCTTTGTGGCTGTAGCGGTGCAGGAGGGTCCGGAGTGCTTCAGGTCGCACACGTGTCTGTTGACGATGTGTGACTCACATCGGGCAGCAGGGATGTACATGTAAACTAACCTAGTGTGCAGAAGGCATAGTCTGATAATGCAGTTACCATCTGTAGCCAGCTTGTTTCAGCCTGAACTTAACGTCTGCGCAAAGGCACGGTATATGTTTCAATGAAGCGCTTCGCTGGGAGGCTCGACCCTAGCTAGCCACTGTTTGTTGTCCGTATATGACGCGTTCAAGCAAAAGTTTCATCTTTCTGCACAGTTATGTGCAGGTTAGCATCGCTTCGGAGAAGAAAGCCCAAGCTCATGGAGGAGGCCGCTTCCAAAGAAGAGCCCAGGCACGTTCCGCTTGGCTCCAACGAGCTGACGTGAACTGGAGTTGAGTCGTGGTTCCAAGCGGTTCTGTCAGTGATTGGATTCCGTATTCGTACTAAATCCGGATCGAGAGCATCCGTAGCGGTGAGTCGGGGCCTGTCGGGAGCGCTCAGGAGGGCCTCCCGCGGCACGACCCCAGACTCTGTCCCCCAGCCTGCCAGCCCGGAGACACCTGAAACCAATGTGCGCCGTACTGCGGTTCGGTTCGATCGCGGTTCGGATCCTTGCGGTTCGGTTCGATTCGGTTCGAGCAGCTTCCCGAGACTTCCAAGTTTCTCATCATGGATGTACGTCTGCGCAGGTGCCTGATCCGAGCGCACTCGAACAAGAAGAGGTCCAAGATCAGCCTGTAGCCAAGTGACGACTGTCCGTCTTCGAGACTGCCCAAGTTCTTGAGGGAGTGCCCCATGAGAACGAAGGCTTGCCTTGACAGGTTTCCAGAGAAGATCCGAGCAGCCACGCTTCATGCACGTAGCATCCTTCGCACGGCCGCACTTGAAACATGAGTGGCGAAAGCAAGCCGACAAGCATCCTGCCGAAGCGCATGCACAGCCCGCTCCACAACTGCAACGTTGTGTAGCGCACTTGTGCGTGTAGGAACTTTGGCTTTCTCTCCTGCATCCTTTCGCCTCTCGTCGCCGACATGGCCTCCTCGGGTTCGTCGCCCGCCCTGAAGACTTCGCCGACTTTGCACCGGCTGCTATGCTCGACCTGGCTGGTTTGCCGACTACTTCGCCGTCGGCACCTCTTCACCATAGGAGTTGCAGGGGTGATAGTGGAGAGATCGCCTCGCCGACCCCGGCTACTGGGCCTGCCGTGGACTTTGCCCGCCTACAAAGTGGCCCAGCTCCAAGGCAGCCCAGATGGAGGATGACGACCGGGCGCCGTACTTCGTTCGGGACATCGTGGGCGACTTGCGCCTAGTAATAGTCTTCGCCTGGTGTGGTGGAAGGGGTGGTGGACCCCGGCCCCTCGGCGGAGGAAGCTCGCTTTTCGGGACGCGCAAGAGGCGATCTGGGCAACCGCCGGCTCGAAGTCATCCTCGCCATGTGCACCGCATTGGTGCCGGTCGCTGGGTGAGTAGCTCAGCTCCTTCAATCCTGAAGCGGCTCCCGGCGGAGTCTTCAGGATATCGCCGCCGTCGCCAGTCGAGCCAAAGCCCACGCTGTTTCGACTGTCGCCGCTTCCTACCCGGCGAGACCGCCACCATTCTGGGGCACACCACTGCTGATGTGCGGAGGGGCTTTGCAGCTTTGCACGAGCTCAAAGTCTCCGCGATGAGCTGATGCGGCACGATCAAGGTCGTTGCTCCTCTTTGTGGCCGAGCGAACTTGCCCCAGTATGGCGGAGCCCAGAACCTTGAAAGGGGTGGGCGGTCGCCTGTCGCGTAAGTGGCCCCAACGCGGTCCGATCCTCCCAATCCACGCAGCAAGTCCTCGTCCAAGGAGTCGGCGGCAGGTCTGGTCGAAGGTGAGCACAACGGCCTGAAGAGCCCGTCGGGGTGGGTGTTGAACTGTGCTTTGGAACTTTAACCGGACTGCCTTCCCAACCAATCCTGTTGCTGTTGCTCGGACACTTCGTCGACGACTTCAAAAGTACCGAGGGTGACCTCCTGTCGCCCACTCCGAACACTTCGCCTTGGCGGACTTCTTGGCTGCTTGAGCGCAGGCCCCCGCCACCGAACACGTCGTCCAGGGTATGTGCTTGATTGTGGCCGATGAGGGCGTCGTACTTCGCCCCACTGCCGTGCGGGTTCGAGAAGATCCTGGTGCAGATCGACGAGGTGCTGGGGGGCGACCGTCTGTCACCCGGTGTGGCGTCTCGCATGGCGGGGCGTGCGGCCGACTGTGAGGATGGTTTGTCCCTGGGCGTGCAGGTTGTCCTGTTGGCATGATGCTGCCTAGTGGCCAACGGTGATTCCGCTTTCCGAAACGCCGACGCATTTTCAGGAAAGCTATTTCAAAAATGGCCAGCGGTAAAGCAACAAAAACAGAATGATGATATCCTTGTGGAGGTATTCAATCTTTTGGCCATGGAACCCAACTTACAATGGCTGTTGGATCTTTGCAACCATTGCTGGCGAGCTGCCATCGTTCCCGATGAATGGTCCACCGCTTCAGTTGCGATGTTGTTCAAGAAAGGAGACCCGACAGATCCGAACAACTACCGACCAATTTGTTTGCAGAGTATTGCGTGCAAACTATTTGGCTCCCTCCTCAAGCAAAGGCTTCTTCACAAAGGTGTACAGACCAGATTTTGGAAATCACAATTCGGATTTACAGAAGATCATCGTACTGAAGATGCCTTTTTCGTTGCTCTACGAAGATTCGAACAAGCTTGTGCCCAACGAAGTTGGTCCTCGATTGGAAGAAAGCTGTTGACAGTATTGGACAGCCTTCTTGATGCATTGCGCCGTTTCGATATTCCAAATTCAATGTAAATCACAGAATTCTGGCATTTCATAAGGATGCACTTTGGGCCCGCTTCCGTTTATCATCGTCAGTGGTGCTGCGCTTGCTTGCATACAATCGTGGTGACTTGGCCGATATTGCTTATGCTGATGGGACACTGTTGCTTGGCACATCCGACCCTCATTTGCAGGACTATCTTTCTAAGATCGCAGATGCAGGGCTGTTTCATTGGGATAAGTTTCAGTTGCTACAAATAACAAGTACAATGTCAAGCAATCGTTCGGACTCCGACGGGTGAGCACATCTCGCTACATTTGGGCATCGACTATTTGGGATCTGTTCTCAGACAACATGGGCTACCAGGGCACGAACTTGGTCGGAGAATCGGGATGGCAAGCGGGAATTTCTTGAGCTCCAAAAAGATTGGAAGCATTCTTCATTATCGCCAGACAGGAAGATTCAAATCTATAAAGCTCTTGTTGAATCGAAACTGATCTATTCCCTGAGATGCTTGTGTTTATCTTCCGCGGATCGTCGGCGTCTTGATGGCTTTCAAAACCGTTGCTTGCGAAATTTTTTCGGCATCCCACCTGCTTTCATCTCGACAGTGCCCAATGCGGAAGTTCTGCGCAGCGCCGGTTGCCCCGCTGCTACAGACATGCTCTTGAAACGACAACTCCTCCGTTTCAGTAAAGTGCTGCGATCTGCACACGACCACCCCTTGCACAGCTCCGCATTTATTCGTGGAGCGCTGCAGCCTGCCGCAAGTATGTATGTGAGAAGGGTGGGGAGGCTGTGACGAGAAAGGGTCACATGTGTTATGGACAAAGCCTGTCAATTCCTCTGAAACCACCGTGAGATAACCAGACTTGTACAGAATCCTCGTGTTTGGAATTGCGCGGTGTGCCGTCCTTGCGCCGCCCGGTGCATGACCGACTGGTGACCTTTGCCCGGCGGTTGTCGCCTCACTGGATCGCCTTCATCGACAACGTGGCCGGGCAATTCGCCCTCATGAATGGTTACGGCAAGGATCCGGCCGTCAACGGCATTCTGGCTTCGTTCTTGCGGCTGACAGGGCATGGGCCTGAGTCCGGCACCAACATCGACTTTGCCTGAGCAGCTTCTTGACTTATCTGGGTGGTTGGGTTCCGGCGCCTTGTGGCCAAGGGGTGCGCCCGGGGGCGCAGAAGTGCGAACCTGGCACCGGCACCGGGTTTCTGCGGCCGCGCGCAGTTCGCGCTTCGACCACAAAAAGCGCCGCACCGGAGTGCATTTGGGCACTGATTAGGGCTACCACGTCGTTATTATGGACTTTGTTGATGACAGTTATTGTGCGCAGTGTGCTGCTCGTTTGCGTGCCAAGGCTGCATCATTGAGGCGAAGGATTTGGTTAGGCCGGGGTGTGCGGCCAAGTTGCAAGTTGGTGTTCAGTTCTTGTGTCGTTGTCTCCCGGACAGATTCCAGTTAGCCGTCGGCAACATCATGCGGCAACAGATGGACCCTGACGTGTTTCATGCTGGCAATCTTGATAGGCTGCTTGTTGATTCTTCGGCGACAGGTTTAGAGCTGGGCCGTGACTGGCCAGGACGGGCTGAAGACTCGGGAAAGGTCCAAGGAAGAACGACAAAAAGAAAGGGAGGAAAAGCGCAAAGCGAAGGCGGTGTCGGCATTCATCCCGGGCTTTCTGTCTGAGTGAAATACGCCTCGTCCATCGTTGAGCGAGGCAGATGCAGCTGCAAAGGGAGTAAAGAAGGATGAGGAAAACAAAAAGGACCATGCCAGGGTGTCATGGATTGTGGTTGTATGGACAATGGTGTCGCGGTCTTCGGTAGTAAAGTGTTGCAGTATGTTGTGTCTGCGATTGTCTGCGCGTCTTCCCAATGCTTGTGGTGAACGGGCGAAGCTTTACCAAACAATTGCGTCTACATGTGGCTTCAAGGACTCAACAGAACAGGCTCAACTAGCAAAAGCGAGTCTTGGGTTTATTCGGGACCTTCACTTCAACATCTTCTAGGCCATCTCAGGATTGGAAAGCCTTCCGATTCCGCGAAGGATTCGCTATACGTTGGGGCTTGTAAGGCAATCGCTGCTGCAGGAAAGCTCAAAAGCTGCGGCTTCCAGCAGCTTGGCATTGAATCGCAGAAGGGACACATGAGCCCCGGCGGGGTGAAGCAGGGACAACCTCTGTGCTTAAGTAGCATTCGGCGCCCGTGGCGAGAGGCAAGAAGAAGGGTGCCAAAAAGAAGTGAAGCAGGGAGCCTACAAGGCATGGTGGCTTCAGGTCTAATTGCAGTTTCAATTGAAGGGGATCATCGCAATGGCCTTGCTGCATGAGGTGTTGCGAAACATTTCTGCTTGTTTTCGCAACGGGCTGAGATGAACACGGGTTTGTCTGCGGAACCCGCAAAGCAGCCCGAATTCTGGCAAATCCAATCCAATACATGGCGACCTTCCAATTTTGCAAGAGACAAGTCACTCAAAACTTCAGGGACGGTGGGTGATGCAGAGGCCGATGCCTGCGTTGTTTCACCTGCGGTTGGTTGGGCATAGTAGGAAGTGCCAAGCTCTCCGTGATTGTTACCTGCTGAGGGACGGAAGATGTACAGGTTGTGAGAGGGCCGGCTGGACAAGTCTCACAACATGCTGCTGCGACAAGATGCATTTGCATCCGTACTTCTGCTTTCGCACTCAACATGCCTGAATGTTCGAGGGCAGAGAATTCTATCTGAGACAGACACCGCAGCAAGTTGCAGCTTGCGAGCAACAGCACAATAGACGACCCGCCACCCTAGCTTGCACTTTCTCCACAGCCTCAGCTGTAAGCGCAGACCGGTAGATGCGAGGGACCGCTGGCGGAGTTCGTGTTTGGTCTCACACCATCGCAGAGCGGTTCACGTAGACAACAGGCAGGGAAGTAGCTGGGCTTGAGCGCAGCCGACTGCCTTGTCAGACGATGCGATAGAAACTCCGGAAATGTGTTTTGATGCAAGTGCATCCATGTGCATCATGCTTGAGCTGCGCCTTTTGCATGTGTGCTACAAGGGCAAACTCCGGCAGACACCTGACAATTTCTTTGCAGGGGTGCCCAATCTATCCGAGCCATTGCCTTCTTCCAGTGGAGAAGTAAGATCTCTGGGTGCCAAGGCCTTTGATGATTTTAGCGCTGGTGGCCAAGCACACCCGACGCTGTTACGAGACCGAAACGTCCAATTAAGTCCATAAGCCAATAAGGTTTACAGGTTCAGATCGCTGAGCCAACTGGACAAGAAGCCTCTAGGACTCTAGGTTTTCACGACAGTTTTCAGAGGTCCAGAATGCGTAGAGGATAATGGGTCTTTCGGCTTGTGAGGTTCGGAATTGCAGCATTGCGTGTGAGCCCAGCTGGTCGTTGTGGAAGAGCAAGTTGCGCAAGCGGTGAGAGCGTCTGCCAGGGTTTTCGACAAGCAGCGATGTGGGATCCTGCTGGGAGTGGATGCATGTGATAGCGCTGAACTCGCCGCCTTGAGTCTCACGTGCAAAGCGAGGGTTCGACCTCTGGGATCCCGTTTAGAGTCTTTTAGAGTTTAGAGATACAGCAGGATTGTCTTTCGTTCTGAAATTTTTGGGCGACCCGAAGAGGTTTCAGGGTCGAGCACGGAGCGTTCAGCGGGTGTCTGGAAGAAGCTTCAGGCATCGTCACTCAAATTCGCTGGATTTCTGTACTTAGGTTGCACGTGAAGGCAGAGGGTGATCTGCTGGCACTTCCTCGCCGCCTCAGGCAAAAGTGCAAGCACTGAAGCACCCCGCCCTCAGCCGGACACTTCTGCAGAAGGCTTCGCGTCAACTTACAACGATGGGCCGATACCCTGCAGAAATGTTGGTCGGCTGACAAATCAGGTTTACTGTATAGACACTGCACTGCCCGGCAGCTTGCCATTGAGAATCTTTTGTGTAAGTTGCGGGCATTGCAACTGAATTCACTGCTCCAAGACAGGTTTGTAGGTGCCCCAGCAGGAAGAGACCGAACGAGAGAGAGAGAGCGAGAGAGAGAGAGAACGAGTGTGCACTTAGCGATGCTTGCGGAATCCCGCAGAAAAAGGGCGTGGATTCCTCGACAGTCATTGTCACAAAGCGCACCGCACCAAAGTGCATCGCACACTACATCAGAAGCAGTTTGGTTCGGGTGCGCCAAAGTTCGCCTTGCGAGTTCGCCGGAAGCCCAGATTGCACAGCCATGTGCCTCAACCAGGACCACCATCTCAGCGATGCAACCTGCTCTTCTGTGGCGATGCCCTAGAGATCTAGAGATGCATTAGTAATGCAGCGTAATCCATTCGCCCCTGCTTTCCTCCAGCCCGTCTTTCATCTGCAGAGCAGGCCGTTCCATACTCTAGAAGCTACCATGTCTGTTGAAATTGTGTGGATGTGAACAGAGAGCTTGATGCATGATTCTTCTGGGTCGCTGCGAAGGGCCCAGTTCGATTCCTGCCAGGCCACAGCCAAAAGGATTTGCGATGGGAGCTGACACAGCATCCTCTGCTACCGCGCGCTGGCTCCAGTGGCAGGTCCAGATGCCAGCTGAGATGACAGGATCACTGCTGAGTGTCTTTTTTTGTTTCTTCGTTGGGCCGTGCGTGCGGCAGGCCAAAGGAGCGACCCAGAAGCAGGTCGAGGACGAACATGGACGAACTAGAGTCGGTGTACATTTGAGCTTGATGCAAAAAGCTGAGGCCATTTCTCAATTGGAATCGCAGCTCGTTGGCAGGAGACACTTCCCAGCAGCTTCAATCTTGATGGCCCGATCTACTACCTGCGAGCAGGGAAGTCCGAGGCAGGCGGAGTATCGCTGTGAAGACACGCGCCAAGCTGGGAAATGCTCCTGACAAAGCCCAAGAAATCAGACGAGAGCCCTCAAACGTGCGCTGCCGGCTTGATGCATCTCTGTAATTGTCAAGAGTTGAAAGTCTCCCTCGTGTTGCAAGCGGCCACATGCGGCTACCAGGGGCAGTGGCTGACTAGTCGTAGAGCTTCAGCCTGTTGCAGGTTGCAGCATGCTACGTTGGCACAGGTGCTGAGGGAGTTTTGGGAATTCGCCACGCATGAGCAGTGGTGCGAGCTCTTGAAAGATCCGCTTAGCGACGCAGGCATGTTGAAATCTGTCAGTACTTCATGAGAATGCTCTACTAGACGACAAATGCCATGAGACAAGCTTCTGATGAAGGGGGTGATTTGAAGCATGGCCTTTGCGCTTGAATTCTACGAGATGCTTGAGGTGGAAACTTTCTCCTCCTCGGACCGAAGTGGAACGCGCCAGCCTCGATTTTTGTCAAGATCTCCTGTTCTCACAACGATTGATGGAAAGAGTGGCGGGTATCGCTTGCTGTCACCAAGTGTCTCGCTATTCAGGTAATCTTGGACTTCATGGATCTTTCCAAGCTAAAGGCGAAAGTGATCGGCTCCACAGTTTGTTTGTTTGGAGGCACGTGCCCGCTGCGGAAAACCGTGGAGGAATGCATGTGTGCATTGTGCGGTCTGCCCCCTTCGCAGGGCAGGACATCGTTCTGCGACTCTTTTTGCCGACTGTGGAGGAAGCCGATCAATGGGCACAGAAACTTAGTGTAGCTCAGCTGCCGCAGCTGCCGTTGTACCAGCTCAGCTTCGACTTCAAGTGAGACCAGAGAGCGAGATGGAGGGATCGAGGGATCGAGCTTTTGAGTGGAGTTTCAGCGTTGTAGCCCAATGGCCCAACCGTACTCCACAGCAAAGGCAGCCAGCTTTCAGCGAGTCTCAGACCAGTGCTCCCGGCTTTGCTTGCGCAGGGTCTGAATTCTGCGGCGAATGAGCTGCAGTGGCCACAGCGTTCACTACGCAGGTACTTGGCACACCTCCAAGCCAAGATTCAGCAGCAGCAGAAGGCTCATCGTCTGCTTGATGAGCCAGCCGCGTTCCGAAGCAGCCTTCGATTTCGAAGGCTACGCGAAGGGCAAAGCAGGCAGCCGCCTTCGGCACGTTCATGGAGTGGCTCTGCTCCTCGTGTGGGTCCCAGCTACTAAGCAGATCCAAGTTTTTGACTTAAGTGTCCTTGTAAGGTCAGCTCGTATAGCAGCCGACATGCGCTTGAAAACCCTTGTTCCTTCGTTGCACGGCTGCATTTGAGCGGCGGCTCTCGTCTGCTCCATGTTCGTTGGAGGTTCGAACACAAGCTTAACGGGCTTAACTTTGCAGGCACTGCGCGCCAGCCGCCATTGGCGGCGCACCTCGCCAAGCTGTTGCTGTATGCTTTATTAGCGAAGTGTCAGCACATGCCATTTCGACCATTCTTGTTGATATGGTTGTTGTGCAGGAACACCACGTGTATCCGGCGCGCTTCTATATGAAGCAGTGCAAGACAGAGGCCTTCAAGCTGCCTCGAAAGCCGGCTTTGGTCCTGAAAGAGCTCCTGGTGCCCTGAGATCCATGAAGTTCCGAGTGCTCCCGTCCCTTCTCTTTATCTTTGCACCCCCTGCTTGGAAACTTGCAGCTGCGTCGTGAGCGAGGGAATCAAGCTGCAATTGTGTAGAAGCTCGTAATGAAAGGCCCCACCCCAGCTTAAGCAGACGCATTCCACTGGGGTTCCTGCAGCACGCCTGTTGGCATGCAGCATGCATTCCACTCCAGCAGGTGAGCTGGCAGTTTTCGTTTCTGACAGGTTCGGGGGTCTAATTTCGGCGACCTGAATAATGTCCAGCGGAGAAATGGAGCAGCAGCTCGGAATGCTCTGCACGCATCACGGAGGATACGGAGGGAAGCCCTGGGCAATTTCGGGAAGGGGGGTGCACAATCATGATTTCGTTTGATTGTCGCTCAAGATCCAAAGATCCATTGAAGCTTCCGTAGTTTCTTTTCAGCCTTGCATCCTGTCTCAGACGAAGCAGCAAAATGTGCAGGGTCCGCATCGATGATGTTTAAGGCTTAAGGGTTGAAGTGGAAGAACACAGAGAGTAAAGCGCCGCGGCCAAATCCCACAGCATTGCACAGCAGCCGTCTAGCAGCCGTTGTGATTGTGTTGTGTCTGCTTGCTCGCTTGTGCAGGCGGCCGGCCGTGTCAGTATTCATGGAGACGCTCTCATCATGCAGTGGGCGGCGCGGGGTCGGGCAAGCGTCTCAGAGCACCATTCGACTGACTGCAACAGCTATGGCGAAGACAGCCGATCCCAACCTCGCCCTTGTCACACAATACAATCTTGGAGACAATCGCAAGCCGCCAGTGTGCAAGTGCAGGTCATGAGACAAGCGGCTGTGCTGACAGGTCGGCCTTGTTGTGCTGTCATCTCGCATCGGGGTTCCTGTTTTAACTCCACCTTGTTGCGCATAGCTAGCTCAAGACTTGAGTGTGGAGGTGCAAGTGCGACGGTTGCCATGTTCATGGTCTCGGCCGTTTTGCAGCAAGAAGGGGAGCTCGCACGAGATGTTTCCTTACAGACCTGGCTGTTCGGGTCCAGACAGCAACGTGGCAGCCTCAGGTGCGCGGAGAGAATGGCCTCGCCATGGTCCGCCTGTGGATGAATGACACGGAGGAGGCCACGAAGCGCCCGCAATAGGAACGGCGCTGTCCGAGTCCTCTGAGGCGGATGAGATTGCCAAGGCTATCGAGGAGGCAGTCGGAGGCTGAGGCTCCAGGTGAAACGTCCAGGAGTCATCAAGAATAAAGCAGCTAATAAAGCATTGCGCATCTGGACTTCCTGGGTTCAGAACCTGCGAAAGCATCCGACTCGCTGAGGCGAAGGCATCGTCCGAGTTGATTCACAGGAAGACTCGGCCAGCTGCTTCGACGACAAGGCTGTGGCAACCAGCTGACACAGCATGCGCTATCATGCGCTATTTTATTGCGCGTTCAGTCGGATTTCTTTCAGAACTCAACAACCGGGGCACTTCTCGCTTTGGGGCAGCTGCACCCTTAGTCCAGCTGATTCTGCCCCGTGGTTGACTTTCACCCATTGTTGCAACACCAGGCGGCAAATGGGGGCTGCAGCATCGTGCATTTGCAGCACGGTATTGGGCGTGCTTGGCTTAGTGCGATGTCTTGATTTCTCGTAAGTTCGGCTTCGGCTTCGAGAGCATGGCCGAGAGCAGAGAAGAAGCAGAGTGCTGAAATGTGCATACGATATGTACGTAAATGGATGTAAATGGGAAGTCTCGCCCAGGCGCCGAAGTCTGTCCGCAGCAAAATTGCGAGCTGCTGCACGAGCCAAATCGTGGTACCGAGGCCCGAGTGAAAAGTGCTAAGCAAGTGCGAGCGTGCCCTCTTGCGTCTTTGCAGTTCATCCCCTGTGTGCAGCAAGAAGATCGAAAACGTTGCTAGCGGTGCTCTCCGCATGGACGGCAAGTGCCACATCCTCTTCCAGAAAGCTGCAGCCACTTACGGCAGCGTTCAGCGTGTGTACGAGTGCTGTGTGAAGTACATCAAAATCTCAATCTCAGGGTTTATCTTGTAACAGCAGCCGGTTGAGAGTTGGTGGGCGTAGGAGTTCGGTAGGGCCGTAGGGCCGTGGTGCTGCGACCTGCAGGCTTGCCCTCCCCTGCAAATCTAAGTGGAGAGCAGCCGAGGAGGCAAGGTTCTGCCACTGCACGCTCCGTGACGACACCCTTTGGTTCGGAGACAAAGCATCCTTCAACGACCAGGTCGCACAGCCGAAGTCCCCCAAGCCCTCCCGCCTCCCGTCGTCTCGTGCCTGAGGTCCTCAGTCTCATCGGGGCCAGAGCACTTGCTTTCGACGACATGGTGACCATCTTCACGCCGAGTGGTGAAACTCACAGGTGCCCCAGTCTAGGTATTCCAGGTGTTGGTTTGAGGATGTTTTGAGGCCTTATTCGGCATAAGCCCATCGTGAAAGCCACAGCCGCGCCAGGCTATGGCCAGACACTTCCGCCGGCACTCCTGAGCAGTGGTGCCTGGCCATTCAGGCATGAGAACCATCGAAGGTCCCTTGAGCCGCTATGCGTGCAGCTTGACAGGCCGCAGGCACACATTCAGCCCACCTGAGCAAGTGGGAGGCCACCGCCTCAGATTTTCCTTTTGGAACGAGAGCTTGAGCTTGGGAGGCGATGATCAAGGCCGAGAAGTTTGAAGCCTTCGCCAAGGCTGAGGCTTGCGCACATGCCTACTTAAGGCCTTTAGGCAGATGTCCCACGGCATCCCTCCAGGTGCGGCGCTTGGCTCGCGCTCAGCGATTTAGGCCAGATGAGCTCATGAAGTCAGATGAAGTCAGGGTGCTCCGACGCTCCCCGATCGTGTGGTCCAGGAATCTCGGAGAGCGCTTGATCTACCTCCCAGCGAAGCTCACCGGCCGCTCGGTTCGACGACAACTTGCAGTAGAATCACGCCAGAGCGATGTGTGAAGTCCAAGGCCTGGTCCATGTCGAACGGCGTTGTGCCACGGAGGTTAGCGGCTCAGCGGCCAAACCGCGCTGATGTCCGTGATTCTCAAAAGCAGCAAGCACCTACCTTCGAAGGTTCTCATGGCCTGGCAGCAGTCTTCCAAGTCCTCTCTCCTCGCTGCGAAGAAAGAGAAGTCGGCGATCGGCGCCTCAGTGAGCGGCTCAGCAGGGAAGTGCGCGAACATCCCGGATGGCATGTTCACGCTAACGGATGCAGAGCATCCGCTTCGTTGATGTTCTGCATCTGTTGGTGCGTAGAGTTTCCCAAGGCGGGAAAGAGCCAACAAGCGCGCTTCTTCCGCAGAGCGGATGCCGGCAGGGCACTGGAAAGGACGAGCCCATCGTTCACTTGCCAAGGCCTTACTTTCGAAGATACACTGCTTCAGGAGCCTGATGATCAAGGGAGATGTGATCTTTGTTTTCAACGAGGCCTCTTTGTTCACGCATGGAATATCCGAGTGCCAAGCCGATTCTCCACACAAGGACGGAAACATGGAGAAGCCGGTTCCTCTGGCAGGCCTCGGTTAGAGCAGAAGAATTGCAGCACGGTCGTAGCCAGCACTTTGGAACTCCTGGCGAATGCTGCTTTTGTAGGTGCCACGGTCTACACGAACCCAAACCAGAAAGTCTGCTCGGTTTGGCCAAGCACTGAGTGTGGCCGACCCATGACGCATGGCTGGCGAAGAGAGTGCTGCCTGGTGCTGCCGAGAATAGGTATGACGGCGTGATGCAGGCTCTCTTTTCCTGGCACTAGCTGTCTGTAGAGCCTCTGGCCGCTGGCAGTGCGTCCTTCCTTTGACCCGATTTGTCAGGCACGCATGTTCGTCCAGTCGGAGGATGCAGCAGAGAGCCGCGAGCCAAGTTCCCATTTAAGCTTATCTTGGCTGCTCGACGTGGGTGCCAAAGTGATCCCGAAATTCCGAAAGCCCAGAGACCAGAAGTGTCGAGCTTGTCTGTGACTGTGATCGAGCTCCCCTCCCGTGGTTGGCACTTTTCGCACAGGTTGGGGAGCTCAGCTCGAGGAGGCATCACTTCTACTATCGGATGCCACAGCTCGCGAGAGCCTGAGCTTCACTGTCCACAGCGAGGGCATACCGAATTCCGGATGTTTCGAAGGTCTCAAAGCAACAGCTGCCGAAATCAAGACTGCCCCGGCTGACGCGCCCAAAGCTGCGCCCAGCGCCGAAGTTACATCGATGAAGGCGCACTGGCCATGTCTGGCAAAACTAAAACCCACAACCTGATCGAATTCTTAGCAGCGTGCGAAAGGTCGTGGCCCCACCGAAGATGGCTCCTGAGGTCTGGACACATTCTTGATGTTCGAGAATCTGGCGTAGTGGATTTGCAGTTCCAAACATGTTGATCCAACGCTTCGGCTTGAATGACCTCTGAACAGGAACATCATTCGTCGCAGAAGCTGCAGAAGACACGCTCCAGAAGATTTGTCGAAGAGACGTCGCTGGAGCTGACATTACGTGGTTGACAAGCTGCCAGCTCAATACAGTAGCCACTGATACTGTCGCTGTTGCTGGGCTTGAAGCCAGCGTTGCTACCATGGCACCATTGCCGGGCGGAAGGGCTGCACGCATGCTTTTTTTTGGAGGAGGGGGTGAGGCAAGCATGCGAGCGGAGGGTTTTGAAGCTGCTAGTAGCGCCCTGTTCAGTGAAAGCGCATCTTGGCTGTCGGAGCCCAGGTCTCTTGCAAAAGAGGGCGAGGCATCGGCATGTGCTGTTTATTCCGCTTTTTGTCCAATGTGACAACCTTGTGTCGCCATGCAGGCGACGCCTGTGCCGGAAGCCGCTGTTGGCGCGTGAAGCTGGCTTCCAATGTTAATACACCCCACAGATTTTAGAGATGTAGAACCACCTTTCCGCCACGCCATGCTGGTAGCTGATAAAAGGTTGTCAGCTCCCCAGCATGGCAGCTTCTTGCGGTTTCCAATTTTCCATTTTGGAGCACCTCTACTGCCTGTTTGCAGGGTCTGCCTGCGATCATTGCGGCTGTAGTTTGCCAGGTCGTGTCCATGCTGCTTTTGCGTGGCACGCATTTTCTCGCCTTGCACGTCAAACGTTGGCACGGCGACTGTTCAGATCCAGACCACAGCTCAAGGGAGGACGTATTCATGCCGAAATCGAGGAAAGCAAATTAAAGTCCTTCCCGGGATGCCCGTCCCGTTCTGTGCAGTGGCCCGCGAGCGAGTGACCTCCAGCACATCCCATAGGGTCCATAGAGCTAAACTACTCTCTGGCCTGAGCATCCCAAGCATGCTGCAGATTTACTCTCGCATTCCTCTTGAGTTTGAAACCGCATTTCAAAAATGCGGCGCGACTCCAAACACTTGTAGTTGCCCCGCAGCAAGAAAACAGGGACATGCGAGCTCGGAGGAGTGCTGCCCATGAACGATTGTGCATCCAACATAGCCCGAACTGCTCCGCCGTCTTGCTGCTCTATGCCGCTCTTCTGAAGCCTTCAAGGCCAAACGTGACACCGGGACATTTCGGGCCTGACGGTCTTAGTGAGTGGCTGGGGTTAAAGGGCTTCGTTTAGTGTGAGGAGTGTGAGGCTTGTCTCGCTACCACTACAGCAAGGGCTGTTACAAGATGGGACCCTTGCACTTGGACGACTCACGGCATGCGAATGGCAGAGCACAGCCTCCCCCTCCTCGTCGCGCAATCACAAGCCTCGAAGCGGACCCTTAGACCGAGTTTTATGATCGAGGAATTGTGGACGGGGGACGGTTGCAAATGAAAGCAGGGCGGGCTGAGTGCACACCCATCGAATCGAAGGGCGTAGCGTTGACCTGCAGTGGGAAGTCATAAGTCGGTCCCCGGCTCGCGGCCAATTTTCAGTTGTTATGCAGGCGTCGCAATCATGGAGCCAGTTTCGCCGCTACGGCCAGGACGTGAGGGGAGTAATCGCCAAGCAGCCATCACAGTGTGTGAGCTGCCGTGTTCTTCTGAGTTTTGTCGGGCTCGCAAGGAAGTAACACACCAAACATTGCCGGGTTGGGATCTTTGCATGTGCCAAGTGGCGTCCTCAGAGTCTTCCTGGGTGCAATTCCATCCACTTGCCTACGCGCATGTGGCTACGCAAATGCTCGTGTGCTGTGATGTTGCACCACTCGTACAAGAAAGCTGAGAGGGAGGATGCTGCCTGGCGGAAGGCATGCTTGAAGGCACAAGCAAGATGCGGTCTATATTGGGGCAGGTCACAGCAAACAGTCAGGAAACAGGAGGGCTCGAGAATCTTGGAAGAAGTTGCAAACCACCTTGCCAGCCGTTGTCTGGGTTCCAGTTGTCAACGTGTGCTAGAGGAAGCCAGCTGAACGCCCGCCCTTAGCTTTAGACCGACCTGATTCGTAGAGATTCGCAATTGAGGTCCAGACTACAGCTTGTCTCCAAGTGCGTTCAAGATATCTCAAAGCCAGAGCTCCTTGGCTTGCCATGTCTTAGGACCTAAGGAGGGGTGTTACAACGCTCTGTCAAGGTCCTGACGCAACGATCTCTTCCCCAACCTTGAAACTGCCATCTGGAGGCTGAGTCGCTGGAAGCGCACACCTGTTCCACGGTCCCGCCAGCTGACCCGTGAGGATATGGTTACAGCGGCTCGAGCTTTCCACTGAACTTCAACTCCGGCCAAGTCCATGGCCTAGCCGAGTTTCGGTGTGGTGCTTGTGTCCAACGCGAGTGGAAACCTTGGCAGGAGCTTTCTACGGAGGTGCAGCGAAAGGCCGCAGAGTGGGAAAGGCAGATTGAGTCCTTGGATGCCAAGGAAGCAGGGCTGCACTGCTTTTGCTGTGACATGCTTCCAGCTGATCGACCCATATCGATTGACTTCTCGTGAAGACGGTGGCTCGTCGTGCTGCAGCAATGGAGGAGCTGGAAATCCATCAGACGCAGCTGCGATTAATCAGAGAACAGTGAGCCCGACCAGTATTGTGCAGAGAGATGGCGAGTGTTGAGAAGATACGATGCGGAGTTATGACAGGACGGCAGCCTTCCGATCTGACTTCACAGCCTTGCGCAAGGAGCTGGCAGACACCAAGGCAGGGCTGCAAGAGCAGATCCTAGTAGCATCCCGAAGCCGAAGACCGATACATCAGACATCGTTGGACGATGTCAACTTCCTTGCAATGCACGGCTGAGGCCATCGTCCAGAGGCAGCAGGCCAGTGCCAATGAGCAGGGCGCCTGGCGGAACATCAGCTGGACATCCCCATGCCCGCGTTTCAGCGTTGTATCCGTGCTGTCGGCGCCTTTGAGGCTGGATGATCTCTTCGCAAGGGAGCGCCAGGAGAGGGGCCGGGCTGCGGTCTTCAGCCTTGAGAGGAAAACTGTCTGTGTCTGTTGAGGACAGGGATGTGCATCATACTTCGCTGGGCAGTCGCATCGAGTCTATCGAGAAGAGCTTGTGCGCGGCCTAAACGAACATTTCTTTCTCCTTTCCTTCCTTTTTCCGTCTTGCTTCAAGAGATGGCTCTCCACTGCAAGACATGCTCCACCCCTCGATGCTAGATTGCCCGCCGAGGCCCAAGCTGAGAGATGAGATCTCGGGCTTGAAAACGCTGCTCCGTCGCAGCCTTGACTTTATGTTGACCAATGTCTCAGCTTTCACCACCGGTGCCTCAGCTCGAGTGCCTTGATTTGCTAGATTTTGATAAGCACACTTGTGTGCGCAGTAACAATCGCGAACGGCGTAGCTGCCTTTAGCACGCTGGCTCGACGCGTCTTCGACGTTTAAGCTTTTCTCTCTAGCCCTCTCATTCGGCACTTGCCTCTGATCATTGCTTCCGACGGTGGCGGCGCAGCTGGTGGCAGCTTAGGCCGAAGCTCGACGAATGGGGTATGAGCCGTGGTGGGGCTGCTGTCGACGGATCAGGTTGCAGATCTCAACGACGCAGCCTCGGCGGCCAACTTGCTGATGGAAGGCAGAACCGACGCTTGGTGGTCGGCGCAGCTGGAGAGATGGCTGGGCGATGAGCCAGACGGCGCCCGTGTCATCTGGGGATGGTGGCACCGACGGCCTTGGAGATATTCTCGTGGAGCCCGACGACATCAACGGGGAGGAGCAGACCGTGCATCCCATCGGCGCTGCGCCTGGTGGGGTGGCGACGCCAATGGCACCTCCGACGAGGACCAGAAATCCGACGTCGCCAAAAGCGACGGCTGCAGGGCTCCGATGCCTTCGGGCCCTCCGACGCCCAAGTCCAGCCGACACACCGGCGGACTTCTTTGTCCAGCTGACTCGCAAGGCCGGCGGTGATCTACCCGGACTCGCGGAGCAGTTTTGGAGGGGATGCCGGCTTCGGCGCCTTCGGCCTTGTCCGCCAGTGAGTTCTTGGGGGGCTGCATCCGCGGGCATCCCGGCGGAGAGGCCAGAGCCATGGAAGATGCCAGACGAAGCTCCTTCCAGCGCCGCAGGGGAGTTTCGCGACTACGGTGGCCGCCGCGGCCAGCAGCAGCAGGTGGCACAGGTACAGCAAATGGCGGCCTCCGCCACACAGCCACTCAGACTATACCCACCACGTGGCCTGTGCGGCTCCCAAAGGAGGACCTGTTAGCCCAGCTCTCAGTGCAAAACTCAGCACAGATCCATCCGGACATTACTCTTGCTGCCGAAATCGCGAAATCACATGCTTGTTCTGCGCAGAGCAGGTACAGGAGGTGCAGAGCTGGAGACGTCGCGCGAAACAGAGGCTCATTGCCATACATCCAGTCGCTCTTCAACCAGCCACGTCGAACACCTTGCTCAAAGCACAGGTAGTCATCGACTGAAGTGTCTCCCGCTCCTGCAGCTTTTTCTACGCCATGACGGAGGTGCCGCAGGATCTGACACCGGCGCAACAGATGGCCTCGGCGTGGGGAGTGAGCTCCCAGCGCAGCTCAGTCCTCAGGAACCGGGCAGGCCGAATAAGAGAGGTCGCACGGACCAGCTGAGCAAGCTCCACAAGGGCACCCCACCAAGAGCAAACAGGGTCAGGTTCCGGACGAGGAGCTCCTCACGGATCAGGACATGGAGGGTCTGGACGATTACACCGTTCGCCGGATTCTCCGAATTTTGGCGAGGGCAGAAATCCGACACGAACAACAATGTGCATCTTCTTTCTCGAAAAAGATCTTGGCATCGGGCAATGCTAGCGCAAGCGAGTACGACCCAGCATCAGGGTTTCGAAGCGGGAACCGTGACCACCTCGCTGAAAGCTACACTATGGGGAATCCTGCTGATGGAATTGCAGCTACGTCTGCAAAAGACCGGGACGGACGAGAAAATGCTGCGGATCATGGAGAACGCGGGATGGGCGCAGCGGTCTCCGCTCCAGTGGTGCTACACAGAATGGAATCCAGAACAGGGCAAAGCTCTCCCCAGCAGGAAGGACAATCTTCCACACGAGGAGGCCAAGACAGCGGTAGCGAGGCTCATCAAAAGCACCGCCAGAAACGATGTGGTCTCAGTCCCTCAAGCCATTGAAACCAGACATCCAGGCAGAGGCCATTGTGATGCTGCTGACACTGACATTGTGTCACCGTGCAACGGAGATTTACCAGGATCTAGACTCTAGACAACCTGGCAAACAACAGCGTGGGCAAGCTGATCGGACTGAGACTGAGGAGGGAAAGAGTCAGCAAGTCCGCACTGGCCAAAGAACTCGAGCGTCTGCAGCTGTGATTGATGAGTGGTCTCCACCTCAATCACAACAAAAACCAGTCTGCAGTAATCGAGGGAAGCGGTCGCCGCGCCAGGAAATGGATGCCAGGTAGTGGCAGCTTCGCACCTATTTTGCGAGCCACACCAACTCTGCCCTTCAAACTAATAACAAGTCTAGCTCTAATACCCAGACCCAGCTGAACCGCACGCAAGAACTCAGTGCACATAAGCATTCAGTAATATTCAGTAGCAGAAGGTGTGACTGATTTGGGGGCTCATCGCAATGATGAGACTGATGACATTACAGGGAACAAGCGGACTCCGCGGTCCTCTTCTGTATTGCCTGCTGGGACGGACAACAGCGATGCTCCGGGAAAAAGCAACAGTGCTCGCTAGATGCCTGGAGAAAGGCTGCAACAGGACCACGCGCAGCAGATGCACATAGTCTCAGACTTCAGAATCCGCATAACCCCTGCTACGCAAATTCCGTCATTCACATGCTCCATCAGGCCCTGGCCACATCACAGGCCTGGGTGCACTCAACGGACCTCTGGCACAGGCGGTCAGGTCAGAAGCGGCGATTTCTCTAGCCCGAGGACCAGAATGGAATTCTTATGCCAAGGCTGGCAAAGATCCACACGACAGCAGGATGCTGCGGAATTCCTGCATAAGAACGGAATGTCTGGCCATTCGCCGGGGCTGGGAGGCACGAGGCCGAGAGGGGCAGCATATGAATAGCTTGACGACAATTTTACTCTTCAAGACGCAACACAGAGATGGCGTAATCATGCGTAATCAAGATGTATTGCATGCCCTGGTACAGCCTCCCTCACTTCTTATACTCCAGCTTGGTAGATTCTTCACACCGAGCAGAGGACCGGCAGACTTTTCAGCTCAGTCGATACATCACGATCCCCACGTTTACAGGCCATGGTGGCGAGGTGCATATTGGCAAAGTTGTCACAGCTGGACACTGCCCCACCTTCTACTTTCCTGATGATAATGAGGACTTGTGGTGTAATCACCTTTTGCACGACGATGGTCAAATCGCTGCCCCAGGCACTTATGCCAGCAAACAAGCCATTCTCACAAATGGCTGCTTGCTGGCCTTCGTCGGACTTTCCACTCCCAACATTATGAGGTAGATCTGTACAGTGGAGAGAGTCGCACTAGTCATGACGGCATGAGGTTTCCTCATCGTCTGTACAGTTTTGCTTAGGCTGATGACAAACAACTGGTGTCATCATTTCCAGTACGACTAGCTCGTTGTCCCAGGTGAGTCACACCAGGGACTCAACATATTTTAAACACTGTAGATGGCCGCTGCTGTCGGGCTTTTAGGGGCACAGCGGTAGCCAGCGGCTGTTTGCAGCTGATCGCTTAGGCGGCTGCAATGATCACTGGCGAACCCTCACTGTAGGGGTGACTAGTTAAAGACGCCCGCTTGACGATTGACTCAGTCGATGCTTTTGGATGAAGAAAAATCGACGCGGTCTCCCACCACGACTTTACTCGTGCCCGATGCGAGGGTCGGACTAGGGTCCAAACCCCGGCGTCCGAGATCGTGCACATGCTGGCCAAGTCGTTCGACGCCCTCTTCTACGCTGTGACGAAGCGGCGCTCAACCTGGTGCCCTGCTCTACCTCCTGGTTCGCTGAGCCGGCAGCCGGCTGTAGGACCTGAAGCTGCACGCCGAACGGCGCACGCAGCGCTACCTATCCACACGATGAAAAAGAGTCGTCCAGTTTTGGTGTCAGAGCTAGGAGCGCGGCGATTGTTAGCGCCCAGGCGGTCAAGATGTGGTCATGATCCTTCAGGTCCGAAAAGCTGTCTGGTGTTGGCCCTTCCATCGAGCCTGAGATGATCTGATTGCTCTCCGACAGGCTCATGAGGACGAGATGAAGTCCATCAAAGACCTCCATGCCGATTTCAGAAACAGGCACGGTGCCAGCGACCAGCACCATGCAAACATGCAACAGAGAGTTGACTACCTGGAGAAAATGATGGGAGACTCGGCGGACAAACATGCAGCGCATGTCAAGCAGCTGGAAGAGTTGCGCCGCAGCCACGACGACATGAGGAACAGGCATGGTGCCAGCGACCAGCACCACGCAAGTGTGCAGCAGAGAGTTGACTACTTGGAAAAAATGATGGGAGACTCGGCGGACAAACATGCAGCGCATGTCAAGCAGCTGGAAGAGTTGCGCCGCAGCCACGATGACATAAGAAAGAAGCATGGGGCCAACGACCAGTACCATGCAAGTGTGCAGCAGAGAGTTGACTACCTGGAGAAAATGTTGGGAGACTCGGCGGACAAGCACGTAGCGCATGTCAAGCAGCTGGAAGAGTTGCGCCGCAGCCACGATGATGCTCACGGCCGACATGCGAATGTTGCCCAAGCACTTAAGGATAAGCATGCCTCCGTGGAGGAGCGGCTTAAGTTCTTGGAACAAGCGATTGGTGACTCTGCAGATCGACATAGTCAAGAATTGAAGCAAGCCAAAATGCAACTGGAAGCTTTGCACGGAAAGCTTTCGGATGAGCAGGGACACCGAGAAGGCCGAGACAAGCATCATGCGACACTGGAGGAGAGGATGCGCTACCTGGAGCAGGCTCTCGGAGACTCCGCTGACAAGCATTCCCGAGAGCTGAAGGCGCACAAAGACGGCCGGGACAAGCAACACGCTTCTCTTGAGGACTGGCTTTGTGCTTCGAATTTTCATGCTTACAGGCGCAGGTGGCTTTACACGAACTGTGCAGGAAAAGGTGAAGTACATCGAAAAGCTCATTGGCGACTCTGCTGATGAACATGCGAAAAAGCTCGAAGCTCACAAAAGAGATCTGGAGGACCACAAGAGGAACCTTGATGATCACAAAATGCAGGCCCAGAGCCAGAAGGCACCTGGAACAGCATCACATGACAGGTCACCGGAGACGAATGAGTAGGGCCGTATGTGCAGTTTGTCTTCACGGTGCAGGCAACTGTCGAAAGGCATGCTTCTTTCGAGCAGCGGCTAGACTTCTTGGAGCGTGCTCTAGGCAGCGCTGCTGGCATCATGCCATAGCCCATCATGCGAGGAGGAACATGTCACAATGTGTGTGAGGAGATTCGGCTGAGCACCATACAGGCCAGCTGCGTGCCGCCAAGGCCCGAAGAGCCCCTGAAGGGCCGAAGGCCCTAACCCTCGGTCAACGCAGACACGCAGACACAGCTTTGACGACCAGGCAGAGCTGGAGCAGAAGCAGCAGGCGAGGGCGACGGTTAACGCAGGCCTTCGTTTCGCTGGGATGCTTCTGCAGGCGCATCATGCAGCGACGGGCTCACTGGCAGACCGTCTCCAATACTTGGAAAGATGGCTCGCGGCTTGGAGCATTCTCCCGACATTCTCCGGGCAAGAGATGGCACGTTCTTGGCCTTCCAGGTTCGGCGGGCTGCCTGGTTTTCAACCTCCTCAGACTGGAACTGGCGGAGCGACATTGAGGCCTGCTTGGCCCTCGCGATCCGTGCAGACCTGAGCACTCCTTCAATGCGCTGGCTTAAGTACAAATCTCGAAGCAATTGAAAGCAGCCCGTGCAGAGAATGTGGCACAGCAAGAGTAGGAAATCAGTGCGAGTCGGCATTGGCAGGGATGGGTGTGGTGGGCCCATAGTTACTGACTCCGTTTCGATTTAGCCTCCACTCCAATGCTGCCTTCATAAGGCAGGTTCGTGTGATCCGTTGCAGAGACCACAGGACACAGGTCAAAAGAGCAACCGGAGAAGCCGGAGAAGCGCGGAAAGATGACCCCCCATGAAAAGCATTGTAAACTGGAAGCTTCGGGTACACCAACCAATTCCACACCGCAGGCCAGGCTTAGTTTACACACCAGTTGGAGCAAGGACAGTGAGAGAAGGCAAGTGTGAGCTGTCGGATCGAAAACCAAGGCATGACTGGAGCCCAGCCTTCAACGGAGATTTGGAAGAATTACGGCTTGAGCGTGCGAACATGGAAGCACCGCTGCAGTCCTCAGCCTTCGCCTGATGCTCATAGCAAAGACTGCAAGAAGGGCATCATTTCGGCCAGGCCTAGAAGTTTCACACACAGCACGCAGGAGCACCGGTTGACTCCCAGTCCTAGCTAGTTAAATTAGTTCTGTTTTTTGCGTTGAACTTCAAGGCGGCACTCCTGTGGCCTGTGGCTGAGAGGCAAAGCCCCAATTCTCTCAGCGATTGTCTGTGATCTATACTGTGCAGAACGAGGAAAGCGATAGGTCATCGCATGTCATATCATGTCATCACTTGTTGATGGTCGTCCTGATGTTGGTCGGCTGCAGCATGTTGTTCGCCAGGCTTGGCGCGCTTGGGCGTTGTGTCAGCACGTTGCTATGGTAGGCGTGACGTTGGTGCAATTGATTGCTTTGGGCCCTCCCGTCCTTACTTTCAAAGAATTGACTGGGGCGCCACGCGTAAGTGGGCCTATAGTAAGTAATCCTTGTGCTCGCACTGTGGCCTGTGGCGCCACCAGTCCAAGAAAAGCTCTGGGCAACTTTTCATCCCACGTGATTTGTTTGCTGCTTCCTTGGGCTCTTGGTTAGGTCGCTTGCTTGCTTGGTTGCCTCTCTTGTGTGGTTGCGCTGGCTCCTTGTAGGCCGCGTTTGTGCTTTGCCCGTTTCGGGGTATTGGCACCTACAAAGTTTAATACGTCACATGTCATCACATGATTTCTTTGCCAATGCTTGTGCCTGACTCGGCCCATCTAGCGCGCAAGGAGGTTTAAGTCCGACGCTCAGCCATGTCCAGCTGTTTCGGGCTTCAGCGTATCGGAGGATAGCAGAGGGTACGATGCACGCGTGAACTGTGTACTCGTGACCGGCCCATGGTAGTGACTGATCGGAGTCATAGGACCTCTTGCCAGCGCTTATGTTGTAACTAGCCGGCCTGCCTTTTCCGTGATTTGCCGCTCTGCCAAAGACACATCGTCATAAGAAGTGACGAAGCCATACCAAGCTGACCCGATGGAACTCCTGACAGCGCTCGGTGCACGCAGTCGTTGGAACCTTTGGCTTGGGCTCAGATGGAGGAGGTCAGCGCTCGCATCAAAGCAAGCACTGGGGGTGTGCGATGAAGGATGTAAGTCTTGTAAGTGATGACAGGCTACGACTGCTGTCCAGCTTTTCTCACGCATTCAGAGGCCCCTGTATGGACTGGTGAATGGGGCACACCGAGTTTTTCTTCCTTTTGAAGCTGAGATCCAGGCTCCGGATCGGGGCCGCGGTGGTGTCAAGCTACGGCCTCGGTGGTGGCAGCCGCTTATCTTTCGAGTTTTGGTGTTCCCAGCCGGGTCAAGGCGTGGATGCAGCTTTGAGCAGTCATCTAGACGCGGCAAGCGGCTCAATATTTCTGAACCGAATGTAGACTGGGAGACTTGTGATCGCAGTTGGCAAGATAGCACTGGCAGAATCAGAACCATAATCCTTGCGCAAAAGTCTTGGACATCTCATGATATTCGTTGGCCCGTTCTGTAACGAATACTGTTGTTCAGATCAGAGGCATCACAGGCAATTCGGATGGCATCTCAGCTGTCGGAGTGGTGTCCATTCCCAGGCCGCCAGAAGCAACCGCACTTCAAGTTTCTTGGCTGTTCTTTAGCGCAGTCGCAGTCGTCCAGTGTTGTGGATGGAACTGCAATCAACTGCAGCTGGAAGCTTGATGTAGGGCCAGCATTGCCAACCACTCATCTGCAAGTCTTGAAATCGATCTGTGACAGGTGACGGTGCCAGACGAAGTGGGCTTTGCAGCAGGCACCCGGCCAAACGCCCTCATTCGGTCTTTGGCACCTTTGCAAAGCTGCAGCAGCCAGGAGCCACAATGGGCGCGCGGGGCCGCATCAGCAAGCCCAGCTGGGGCAGATGCTGCGCTGCCGGCTTCGTTTTCTGAATGCAGACCTGGATGGCAGTTTTAAGATACAGCCAGGAGACACCATCGGCGTGAGCAGAGATCATGGTTGAAAGCCGCCTGGAGCGCCTGTAGCTCAGAATTTGTACAGTTTGTATTGGAATCTGGAACTTCCAGAGTGCTGCTATGTGCTGCTACGTGCTGCTCCGTGCTGCTCGTGCGAGGCCTGGAAGGCACGCTCATCTTGGACGCAGGCTCCCTTAGAAGAAACAGTCTGCATTGATCTGCAGTGCGGCCGACATTATCTCGCGGAGCTGCGCATTTCTGAAAGTTTGTGCATCTGAGCTCTGGCTGAGTACGTTTTGGACCAAATGCCAGTTTGTTGGCAGAATGTGCTGCGGGCACAGTCCCACTTTTCCAAGACCGACACCGGACCCTGCGCGGAAGACACGGAGGAAGCCACACATGCCAGGAAGAGATCAAAGCGACTCTTAAAAGCGGGCGAAAAGGAGCAGAAGCAGTGCACGGAAAAGGTGTTTCGCTTAGGCACAGCAGACCCAAGAGCAGACCCAAGCCTAAGAGGGAAGAATCGGGAGGCGAGCGGCGGAATCGCGAAATCTAACTTACAGCAAGCCTGTCAAGTGAAGCGTGCATGAACCAGAGCTACGATTGCGATGCGTAGAGCTTTGTTGCATTTTGTTGTGGTGCATGTCAGCCCATTTTGGCGTGTCTGGGCGAGGCCATGCACTTATTGCAAGTGGACCTTGGTGGCTTGGCTCCGCAGATGTGTGGTTTCCTCTCGCTGAGCTCACTTCGAAGGTCGGGCCGAGGCAAAGCTGCAGTGCTGGCACCGCTGGCGCAAAGCGGTGCAAGTGGCTCGTCGCGCAGCTGGGCCAAATCCGCAGATGCGGGCATTGCTGGAGCCTGCTGCACAAAGTCGTACTGGCCGGAATATGCCGAAGCTTAAGGAAGATTCGCGGGCTGCCGTCATGGCTGACCTGCTCGCTGCTCGCGAACGCAGCCAGGCCAGATGTCACAGCTCCCGTGGTTACCGTTCGCAGCCAAGGAGGTACCGCAGCTGCTTGATTAAATATCGGGGCCTCGGCGTATCGTGACAACAGTGTAGGCGGTGCGCATAGCAGGAACAGAGGCTAAGGGGATGTCGATTTGAGGGATCCAATTTTCAGAAATTGGCAGGTCTGTCAGGTCAGAGGACAAAACAAAGGGGCTAGCATGGTGGCCAGGATTCTCAGATTTGAGATCCTTGATCCTTAAAGGAAGCATCATCGCACTTGATGTGCGGGAGAGATGACCAAACACAAGTCTTGGGAATGCGATGCTGTGGCGCTCGCTTTCCTGCAAGGAGGCACTTCAGGAGTCTTTGCGGTGCAGGGCGGAGGCTCGCCGCAGATTTCGAGTTCTAGTGCAACTGAAAAAACTCTTCGCGCGCCAGGAAAAGGGTCTCCATTTGAAGAGACTTGAAAATCGTTTACTTCGAGGACAAAGACATCTCCTCAGGCACACTACTGTGACGTCGCATGGAGGAGCAGTCAGCACGTTGCGCTTCCGTATGTGGACAGCAAATTGAGAGCTCAGACAAGATTCACGGTTGCGAATTGCTCCAGGGACCGTCCGCCGTCACCCGCAACATGAAACGAAAGTAGGCCGTCTTGGCCGCAAGGACACAGAAAATGCATCGCGCACATTTGCCTTGACCTCCCTCACTTGCGTGTGTTCTAGCAACATGGTGTTAGCGGCCCTCCATGATGCTCAGCCGGTTCTTGGAGGAACGCAGCCCAAAACGAGATGTCGAATGGGCGCCCGAAGATGCTCACGATGCTCAGAAGCCCTCGTGATATGACTAGCGCAGCACACGGAGGCCAGCAGGACGTCAGGCACGAAACACAGCGCGGACGAAAAACAAGCCGAAGTGAAGGTGGTGAGACAGCCATGGAAGAATACTCTGAGATAACTAGAAAGAGTGAGTGGATGTTCGAGGGGCCATCGTGGGCACGGTGCAAGATAGCCTGACAGAGCTACAGCTGCGGTGTGGCGACAATCTGGCAGATTCTGGCAGTATCAGCAAGTCGCAGAATTGTTGTGGCGGTGCTCATTTTGAGGCTCCGAAGCTGGCGGAGTTGGAAGAAACAGGCATTTGTCAGCCGCACCTCGGAAACAAACCCGATCAGCAGTCGAGTCCGCCATGACCTTCAAGTCGTGACAGCTTTAGCTCTTGTCTAGCTGCTTGTCTATGAGGGAAGGCGGCGATCAGCAGTCGCAGAAAGCCGCGAACTCAGATCTTCAGGCATCCATGTGCTGTCATGCTTTGTCATGCAGTGATACTAGGAGTGCTGCAGAACACGCATCCCGCGGGCCTCGCAATCCAGGGACAGTCTCTGCAGCGCGATGCAGAGACAATCAGACTCGGCAAAGCTCCGAGCAATTCACCGCGCTTGGTGCGGGCTGGCCCGGGAGCACAGCAGTGGACCAGTCGCTGACCAATGAGCTTTGTATACTTCACCACTGTTTTGCTAGTACGACATTACCCGTCACTCGCCGATCCTGCTTGCATGCGGAGGCTGCAGTTTGCAAGCAGCAACGCCAGGCGTGCAAAGGGATTCCAAGGGCGATAGATTTGATACTGGCTCATGGCCGCTGTGATTCTTTGAAGGACGTGGCCTGCTTCGTGAAATTCAAGACTCTCCACTTCTGCCTGGGGCTTGTTACGTGTTGCATTTTGCGGCTCGTTCCGCAGACTGGCGTTTGCGCATGTCCTGCCTGTGCCCATCTCGGCTTCAGGCGGTGAGCAGAAGAACTTTAAGGAATTCGTGCTCTTGACTTGGCCTGCTGCCTCAGTCCATGGTTGCCGAGGGTTGATCTGCAGCACTTTCACGTGGTCAGGTTCCTGGCAATGCACAGGACCTGGGTCAGAATACGATGGGTCCAGCCTTAAGAGCCTTAAGCTTGTGTCAGACAGCGCTTTTGCTTGTTTGGCGCAGCGGTCGATAAGATGCGCTGTCGATGCTGAGAGTTCGGAGGTTTCTGTAAGGAGAGGGCCTGAGGCCTGAGAAACCCATCTCAGATCTCGCAGGACTCAAATCAGACGGCAGAAGCTGCTACATCGACATCAGCAGCGACTTCTTCGAGCAATGCGATCAGTGTCGGTCAGAAGCCGAGACATGCAGCTGACACAATGATACACAATGGAGACTTTGATGTGCTGTCCTGTGATTTGCACGGTCAAGAGCTCAGCCTGTGCTCCACGCTGCCTGAGGCGCAGCGATCAGCAGCATTGACCCAGCACTGCACACTTGTGCGCGTGCTCGGCGCCCAATGCACAAAGTGCACAGATCCCTGTGGCTGCCAGCCACATCGTGCTGTTTCCTCTTTCACTTACTTGGCCTGTCACGTTCTGTTTCTTGAGGCTTCGCTCTTGGCGCCGGGCCGTGGCCTGAGATGCGAACCCATACCGGCGCTGCAAGAACATACAATGGGACAGGTTATGACTCTAGCCAACCGCTGCCTAGAGTAGTGGCCCCTGAAGGCAACAGAGGAACAGAGACTGTTCTGAGCTTGGCGTCGAGAATCTGCAATGTGACTGCTGCCTGTGTCATCCTTGCAGTGGTCTAACAGCCTAGCAGAGTCTAACAGCTGGCCAACGCGGATCTCTGCCCATGCCTCGCCTGGATTCGAGAGGCTCGACCATGCAGCGAGCGCCAGACGCCAGGAGGCACGGAACGAGTCTCCCAGATTCGCGTGGAGATAGGAGCACAGCCTTTCTCAGGCCTGCCATGGGCTGATTAGCATAGTGAGGAAGTTGGAGCTCTCAAGCCCGGCCCTTCCCATCCCATTCGAGCCCGCTTTGGCATGCTTCCGCTCACTGAGGAGCCACGCTTGCATGTTGCCTGCTCCAATGGTCGCGACTGCAGCAAGCTCAGGTTGGCGTTAGCATGCTGGCGAGTGATGGCGAGTGCATGCAACGTGCCGTGAAGTGTTGAGAAAATGAGGCGGGTCTCAGAGCGTTTCGATCCCGGATCAGCACTGCACGAGGCCATGCAGAAGAGTGTAGCTGTATGTTGCTGTGCCCGATTCGGATGTGTGAGTGTTCTGAGCTGCAAGCCTTTCAGCCCCACCGCACGGTGCATGCCCAAGCGACCTGCTAGTCTTCATGACGCTATGATCGTAGGGGCCCTCGGTGTAGCACGTAAAGTAAGCACGGCAGCCTTCTTTGAAGCTTCCTGCAGCATCGATAAGATAACCAGCAAGCCATTTCGACATGGACATGCACGCTGCAAAAATCAGGGAGTCAAACAGTCTGAGAAGTTGTATTCCAATTTGACAATTTCGGCATGCGCCACAGATGCGCTATAAGGGTATAGTTATCTTGGCACCTTTGGTAGCTGTTCGGACCATATCCTTCTGTGACGTACATACCGGAACGGGCGCAGCTTTCAGCATACATGGCGTGCCAATCTTACAGGAAGGATACACTTTGCGGGGCAAGCCCGCGGAAGCCCTGGAGATATCTGGTGCGGTTTGTCGGGCGCAGGTTGAAGCAATGCAAGAGTGGCAAGACCTCCGTGTCCAGGAATCGGGTCAATCGCTTCAGACGGGCAGCTGGGCTTCCACTGAAGGCAGTCGCGGAGACTTTTGAACCTCCACCGCTGTCTTGTGGAGACTACACACTGCATCTCCGTATGGCAGAGTCAAGCATTGGCCTCGAGGATATCCATCCTGCCACCAACAACGGAACTCAAAGTCGTAAGATACACATAGGTTGAAGGTAGGATTGGTGAGGGTGTCTGATAGAGTTTTCGAGAACCGGGTCTAGAGCCTAGAGTCCAAAAACGGCTTCAGGGTGGGGTTTGCCAGCTAAGCTTCTGCGGCATTCCGGAATATGATGCACCCTGAAGGAATTGCACTCGCAGCTGCGAAACAAAGCAGGGCAGCAAGTTGCCTGTCTGACGGGTGTTTACATCTTCCGGGGGGGCGACGACTCCTTTCTGCAGTTGTGTGGCTGTGACTCTGCTCCTGAAGCCTTGCGAAGTCTTGCCCCCATCCTTTTCAACGAGTTTGGCCGGCCGCTGGATGCATTGAAACAGCGATGCGGCGTTCGAGCGCGGACAGCAGGTTTCTTGTGGCTGTCCTCAGTACAAGCTCCGAATCTGGACCCGTCCATGAAGCGGGAATTTGCACAGAAAGTCTTCGAATGCCTCGGAGGAGCAATGAAACGGCTCAGCCTCGTGGTGTGCCCCTTCCAGGAAGACTTGGCTGACTTTGGCTTCCAATCGGCTGAAATGCCGGGAGCTCATCTTTGTCTGTGGGACAAGTGACTTGGCTGGACCCTTGTACTTAAGCTGAGCACTTCTGTTTCTACTGGCTACTGCTGTTCATGAATGTTCCACAGGAGCAAAGATGGCGTGCCTGCAGTGCCAGATGCCTCAATGGTGCCGCAAGCGCTTCCTGCTGATGTGGGTAACGTGATTGCTTTCGAGGTGCGCGTGCAAACTCTTTCCGTGCAATGTAGGACTGTTTGAAGACATGACTGGTTCTCGCAGTGGTTCAGCTTGAGAACAGCATCGTGTCTTAAAGCCTGCCCTGAAGAGTTTTGGAAGGGTGATGGTTGTGGGATGTTGTGGGAATCAGTGGTTGTGTGGGCCGGTCACGCGGATCAACATGGCCTCAGGCGGAAGGGCAGGTCTGTCGTCATTCTCGAAGTAAAATATGTGGACCTGCCCTGTGGGCACCTGTGCAGGCAGAGGAGACGTCGTGCGATTCCAATGGTCTGAATGTATCCAAGCCGGTTCCTCTCCAGGAACAGGGCGAGAAGAACAAACTGTCTGTAGGGCCAGAAGGTGCACCGGAAGTTCCTGCAGACGGCCCTTTGAAGGAGGGCCCGCAGGCATCCGCACCAAAGGCGGACCAGGTGCCGGTCCCTGTTTTCGTGCCTCGACTGAAGCAAGAAGGGATGGCGGGGTGTCTTCCCTTTGGCATCTTGGGTTCCCAAGCATTCAGCACCCGGCCTAATGAGAACCCGGTCGGCGTGTTGGCAGTTGTGCCCTCTGCCCGCGTGGGGCATGAGACCTGGATGCCCGCTTCAGAAAATGTCTTCAGTCGACTTGGTTCTGCAAATTCCATTTAGGAGTCGGGTGATTTTTCCCCTAAGTCCTTTGGGGAGCAGTCTGGCATGATCTCACATGTTGCTACTGCATTGTTACTGTGGTTCTGGTCCAAAAAAATGGAGTCAAGTCAGGCCCCTTCACAAGTATTGGAGTGAAGCTGAAGCTGCAGCCGAGGTGAAGATCGAGGCGAAAACCGCCCGAAGCCATGGCACTGAGAGTGACAGCACTGGTGCACAGAAACGGAAGCCAACCACTCCCACACCACCTCGAAATGATAAATCGCCGGGCTGTGGCCAGAAGCGGAAGTTAAGCATGACACCGCCGCCTCTGCCCGATGCACGGCGAAGCTGCAACGTCCCTGACGTCCCTCAAAGCATAAGTCTCCCATTCGGCGGTTTTGCCGAGAAGGTCGGTCCAAGTTGGTGGACTCCACGTGTCCAGCTGGCCCTGACCTACGCTGCAGGCTTCGGGGCTGCTCTACTAATGCTGCAGGCTGATCAGTTTGAGAACGGTCGGCCGGGCAAAGTTTTCTGGGGATCCAAACACCTGCCAAACAGGATTCAGGAGCAGGGGGCGCACAAGTCTTTTCTAAGAGGGATGGCCGAACTTGCCCGGATCATACACGCAGTGAACCGCGATGCTGAACCGCCGATGGCAAGCTTGATTATGCAAGTGGTTTCTCCGCTTAGTTCCGTGCGTAGGAAGTTTGGCATTGAAGAGCAACACAGGCACAGCCTGAGCCACTTCTTTGGAAAGGGTGGCCAAGTGGAGCAGGTGTTGCGTGCCGTTGTCGATGAGGCTGAGGCCTTTTGTGCATCTGTGGCCGAAGCCGAAGACAGCTCGGACACCGCTAGCGGCAAGTTGTCACAAAGTGACTGGGCTTTCTGCTATAGGGCGCTGCCGCAAGTTGAAGCAGACAGGCACAATCTCGTTTCTTTCAGGGAGAGGCTTTGTGGGGCATCTGCACGGACGTGACGAAAAGACGCATCGCGACCGGTCAGCAACATCTGAAACTCGTGCGAACTCATGCAGCTACTAGTGTATTCAGCCTAAGAGCGAGTCTGGGCCGTGCCAGGTGAGCTGGGTGCAGAAGCTGAGGCAAGTGCTCCAAGCCTTTCTATTCCGTGGAAGGCATAGCGGCACATAGCGGCACAGCGGCATCGCGGCTTCGCTTCAGGTCCTGTCTGGAGGCAGAGGTCGAGGCTGAGATCGAAGAGAAGCGTCGGCTCCAGGAAAGCATCCTGCCGGAGCCTGCCGATGCGGAGCCGACTGCGCTGCGGAGTCGAGTTGGATGTCTCATAAGGAGCACGCAGCGATCGGAACAGCTGAAGCGATTTGAGACCGGCGCGTGTGCGAGGCCCAAAACAACAGAAGGGAACGAAAATGAGTGTCAGCCAGAGAATGCTCAGGTCTTCTCGAAATCCTCGCCTGGCCGGCACGGGTTGTGCCGCAATTGCATGTGAGACGAATCTCTGGCTTCGTCATTCATCTTCGGCCCGTGCCAGTTTCAAAAGCAGACGGCCGCCGCAAAGCACGGCAGCCTTAGGCAATGGCGCCTTTGGAGTGCTGGCTCGGGCCTCTGAGAGAGGCGCCACTAAGGGCCTTTGGGCTGGGACCGGGAGTAAATCGCGAGCGGGGAGAAGGATGCAGGGTAGCGACATGTCAGTGTGTAAGGCATGGAAGTCGCCATGCTCGCTCGTCATGCGGAGGAGCAGTTCCAACCCTGGTTTTCTTTTCAGATTTCCTTGTAACATCCTTGGCGCTGAGAGCACCTGAGCGTCGAAGGTCAAGTCGACTCCGAGATCTCGAAGAGGAAGCCGCAGCTCTCAGCTTCTTACGATGTTCCGTGCAGGCCCCGAGATCATGTCTCAGCATCCGATTTCTTCCGGATTTTTGGTCCAAGGGTTAGCATGGATACAAGGTCATGCTAGACCAGGTCAGATGTCTCGTTTGGAAGCTTGAAAGCATAGGCGGCGCAGCCCCAGTGACCCTCACTGTCCCAGCCGAGCCTGAACCTCGCGGTCCCTTGCCCGAGCTCCCGACCGCCCAACCCCCCCCGGCCCCCCTGGGCTCACCGCATAGAGACGAGAGTTGCCTGCCATGGGATCCTCTTCGAGTGCACCGGCGGTGGAGTTCGGAAGCAACTCGGGGAAGCCGATCACAGCGTATACGCTGAGCAATGGTTCGATGACGGTGCGCCCTGCCAGCTCCCGTGATAGCAGCGCACGGGCATTGCCGCACGATCTGCAGACCTTGTATTCTTTGTTCTGCAATGCCTTCTTCAATAGTACTGTGATGAGATGTGATGAGTATATACCCATGGCCTCGATAGTCTTTTCAATTTGTCCGACTCCGCTCGGAGGACGATTAGGGTCTTGAATGTGTGACGTTGACGGAGCAGTATTGAAACGAAATCGAAGTGACCAAGCCAAGTGTTTTGTTCAGACGCGCAGGAATGCAAAGCCGAAGTCTCAAGGCATTACACAGAAGAGCTTTTCGGTTTTACTTACATCAACATGCTACATCGATGCTGGACTAAAGATTGACATGAGTCGCACTGCATGACGGAGAGACTCGCATGAAGAAAGCGATGCATTCGTTGCACGAACCATAGAGAGAGTCCAACCACCTTGGCGTTACATCAGCTCACTACACCTGCTGTATCGACGATGAACAGGCCATGGAATGGTGAGCGAAGATGTAAACACGTCGTATGCGCCAGCGGCTTCACGAAGCTTCGTGAGTCACGTGATGGTTTTGAGGATGCTTGGCACAGGTGGCAATGTGGAACCGTTGCCAAACAGCGCAAACCACAAGATTATTGAGGACACACACACATGGCCAGTCAAACTCAGGTGGGCACTTTCTGCTGTGCCTATTGTCGACGTTATGCTGAAAGCCGGGGTTTCATGTTTGCACAGTGTAGCACCTGTATCCGCGAGTCACACATGGCTGCGTAGAGCTGTACCGAAGGGCTCGAGCAGTAGCACGAGGTATTGTTCGGGAAGATAACTGTTACGCTACATAGGTCAAAGGCCCCATCGATGGTCGCGAAAGGTGAGCAAGACAACGAAGCAGGGTTGCGGGCCAGGTGGTTCGCCGGCTGGCAACATACCGAAGTGCTCGTAGCACAGCGCCGCACCATATCAAGCTTCATTATAGAGACTGAGTGCACGTTCATAGCAGACGGGGTTTGCCCGGAGCACACGTAATTATTTTTTGAATCTGAAATCTGGCTCAGAAGGTCGAGAGGACACCGTATGCAGTGCCTGGCAGGTGCTTTCGGCATTGAGCCTACCAAGCACAAACGTTTTCATAGAAACAGAATAGTGTCGATCCGGAGGCCGCAAGGTTGGGGGCATGCAACCGGGAAGCCTTCTTGTAGGATGGCGTGCTGCCGATTCCGGCAGAATCGATCTCTCTGTCTCTGCTTGTCTGGGGCTTCCTACAGGTCCGGGTCCTTGACCTTGGCGCCACAGTCTCCTCTGTCCAGGCACGCTTTGCCAGCGAAAGTTCCGAACATGGGAGCAGGTCGTTGTGGTTGTCGCCTAGGTCCCGGACTCTGCAGGCAAGATCAAAGAGGCAGCTGCCAACGCTGGAGACAGAATAAAGCAGGGCTTAGGGCGGATGCCTGCAGTGTCCAGCTAAGCCAGGTTTGCCTGGGTTACGATGACGGCGCGGCCTATCTGGACTGGACTACAAACCCTTATTTCGGCGCTGTGCCTTGGCGTGACCACAGGCCGCAGGAGGAAAGCCTGGCCATGCGATTCTGTTGCTATCGATAAGCGACCTCACTTCCATGAGTCCCTTGTGCAGTTGCGGAGCATGCAGATCCGTTCCTGTCAGCTTTCTGAGATTTTCTGAGAGGTCGCTGGACGATGTGCGAATCGCATTGCCAAAGGCCGCGGGATGTTGCATGAAGCGGAAATCGACACGAGCGAATTGCCGCAGCTGCTGCAGCAGCTGTTTCGTCTTTCCTTTCGCTGTTTGAGGCAAGTTTACGCTCGATGGCAAGGACTATCAGCTTGTGGCCAACAACGGCCGTGAGCTCAGGGTCTTCTCGGGAGCTCCGCGACTTGTGCTCCTGGTTCAGGTCCTAACCATCTTCATGGAGGCAACCAGGGCTTTGACAAGCTCATGTGGACCTGCGACGCCGCCTTCTCAGGAGGATAGCCATACAAGCGCCAGCGCTATCGTGATCCGTTGCTTATCAAGGCCTCGGATGCGACGTCCATTACGCTCTCCTTGCTCTCGCCTGATGGCGACGAGGGTTACCCGGGAAACCTCCGTGCCAGGTGCAAGCACCTGTGTTCGTTGAAGCATCACACAGCGGCGGCACACACGTAGTGGCGGTTGCAGGACGCATGCTTGGTCCAGTGGTCCCGTGGTGCATTCCCATTTCATACAACCACCTTCCCCGTTTTGACACGTTCAGATAAGCGTCCAACTAACGCCTCTTTAGGACTTTAGGGCTTCAGGGCCTAGTCACCGGTCTTATCACTCCTTTCAGGGTCATTAGCTGCTCGTGCCACACGTCCCGCTGGTTGCTTCGCTGTCTCAAGCTCGCGTTGCCATTGATTCCGACAATCCTGCTGTCTGTTTCGACTCCGAGCACTGGGTCGTCCGATGTCGTCCGTAGTCACATGCAGGGTACGGGGAACACGCGAAGTATGCAGTCTCGCGTTGTGCAGTCTCTAAGTTGACCATCCATGCCTCGTGAGGGTGACTTATTCGTTGCCGACGTCTAGCTCGCTGAAGATGGAATATGAAGCGACGACCGATGCGTCGCTCGGATATGCACCATTCAGACGTATTTTACGGCAGAAACCCTAGGACCGAGGCTGTGGTTGAAGACAAGCGGCAAAGTGCCTTCAAAGCCGAGGCCAACATTGTGCAACCTGACGAACCACGCTCCTTGCTTGCAGCCACGGACCAACTCTTTGAGATTTGATCCATTCGTGTACGGACATCGCCGGGTTTCCAAATTCTTGGGAGATGTGAAGGGGTCTTAAGGGGCTCTCTCGTCATGGCCTCTTTCGAGAGGCGAGGTGTCACTGCTTGATTTCGTTTCAAACGGCCTTCGTGGCTCCAGCAACAGGATTTGCCTGCGAAAATAATCCCCCCTTGCAGCCCCAGCACTGCCTCAACACGACATGCTAAGGCATACTGGAACCTTGCTGATGGTGGCACTGGCGTTCAGGATGTTTGCAATCATGAGATTCTTGGAGACAACAGTAACATGCAGCCTGCACGATGTGCATCTGTTGATGCGGGCATGAGTCCGAGTTCAGCTTCTTAACAGCAAGCGGCCTTCATTCAAGGATTCAGATCTTTGCAGATTTCTACACGATCCTCGATGAGAATTGTGTCGAAATTGAGCGGTGCAACAAGCAATGTGGACACTGGCTGTGGTCGCACATGTTGTTTTCCTCCATGCCGCCCGAGGCCAGTGGACGAGACTTCCATTCCCACCGGAGAGGTTCGGAGCGTTTCAGGGGCCATGGACCTGCGCCAGAAGACTCGGATCGGTGACTTGGCAGAAGGCGAGGGTTGAAGACGCCGCCAGGCAGAGCAAGTTGGAGCTGAGGCACTCAGATTCGGGCGGCTGACAACGGCTCGACGCTTACAGTTGGGCAGGGAAGAGCTCTTTTGGGAAGATGGCAGACTTGATGTTCGATTCCGATAGTTCTGTTCACTCGACAGCACCTTCGGGCGGCGCCTGGGAAGCAACGACATCCAAGCAAGTTTTAAGCACCCAGGGGCCATCCCCCGTGGCCAAAGTGTGCCATTGAGCCTCAGTCAGCACCCCGAAGGACAGACATGAGGATGGAGGGAGAATGAACGTACCCAGGTGTCGAACATCGTCACCAGGTGTCGAACATCGTCAAACGCAGGAAAACCTGAGCTGTTCACGCTATCTCCTTTGACATTCGTTGGTTGTGACGTGGGTATCCTTTATTCTCGAAGGTTCGGAGCAGTAGCACATGCCGTAGCAGCTGTCACTCGAGACTTCAGAGTGTTTTGCCTCTTGTTCTCTCGCCACACTTCACTTGTCATGCCGCGCAGCAGAAGCAACAGGGCCGACCAAGGCTTTCGAGGGTCACATCTCCGGTTTTCCCTCTTTCCAACACCGCAAGCAACACAAGCGGCAACACTTGTGCGAAATAGGTTACTACGGATGAGCGGATCGTTTTCAAAACTCAAAAAGAATTCAAGAACCACCAGACTCAGAAAAATCAGATTCGGCATCAGCGTGTTGAAACCAATTGCACACATGTCGCACAACACATGAGCGGGATGAGCCAGGCTTCTGGCAATTTCAGTCGCACAAGTTCCGTAAGCAGGAAAGCTTGTCGAGATGGTTTTCTTTCCCGCCTTCTTGCTCCGCATGCCGATGCGTGCCTGTGCTGACTGCATAGTTGACGTTGGCTTGGCAATGTGTCTGCTTCTGCAAACGGGCTGCGGCTGCTGGTGCTTCGGCCACGAAAAGTGGCGGTTGCGCAGCACATCACTTCCGGGGCGGGGTTCCAGCTTTGGACTGTTGGACTATGAATCAACTCGCTTGGACGCCAAGCCCATTCCTTCCCTACCGATCGCACAAGTGCACATGCGCATGTCGGGACTGTGCTGCTTCGGTGTGGGACTGCATTGTGAAGGCCTTGGCTACGACCACAACTATGTCTTGGGCGCACCCAACGAATCGGGGCTTCGCCCAGCAGCGCGTGCAGCGAACTCAGAGAGCTGGCCCTTTTTTCGATGCGCAGCTCGCTGTGTCCCAGGCTTGGGAGGCCAGCAGCGGCCGCTGGATGTCCATGAAGACGAACCAGCCCGGAGTGCTGATGCTGCAATCGGTGATTTTATGAAGTCCACGCAAATCCATTTACATTAACTTCACGAGGTCTGTACAATTTGATCTTGTGCCATCGAGGTGCAGTTTTACACCGGTAATTACCTGAACGGCTTCGCAGGTCCGCTTTCGGAGCTGAAGGACGAGTGCTTTCCATATTCACGATGCAAGCAAGCTCACGATGCAAGCAAGCTGCGTCGAGCGAAGCAGTGTTGAGCAGGTCGCGCCGGAAAAGGTGCCTATCACAAGCACCATGGCTTTTGCCTCGAAGCGCAGCAATTTCCGGATGCAACTTGGCGATGACTAGCGCACGTGTTCAGACATGTTCGAACCGAAGGCATCGCTTATATCATCCATGATGTCGCATTCATTAAGTGCATGGCAGGCAGCCAACCGGCCACACTTCCCTTCGGTCGTGTGCTGGTCTCAGGGTGCTTTTTACGCGACAAGCCGAGAAAAATTGCATGCATTCATGCATCTCAGTAAGTCAATAAGGTTACGACCAGGCGAAGTTTACCGACAGACCACGGTCTATGAGTTTGGCTGCAGCGACTCTTTTCCGCAGGGCCCCATTTGATGGATGCTTGTGCCGCAAACCAAGTGTAACATTCCACAGTCTTCGAGCACGATTCATTCAAAGCTGTGGCAAAGGCCAACGCTGCACAGCAACAATCTGGCACGTGAAAACATGTGGATTTTGGAGTCGCTGCCATGTTGCGCTTATGCTCGATACGGGCTTTTCGAACAGTTCCTCGCATTGGCCTGTGTGAATCGTTTTTCTGTGTGCCTTTGCGATGCTTGACATCATCCCATTGATGTGGGAATCGCTTCGAAAAGATGGTTGCCAGATGTGCCCAGCTCTTGATTCAGAAGTGCATCAACTTCTCGGGCATGGCTTGTGCAAGCCGACCAGGTCAGACCAATGCAGCGTGAAACAAGGGCACTGCGCTGCGGTCTGAGCTGTCGAACAGCTCCGAAGGCGCAAGTGTGCGCTATCGCCCTGCAAGGTGTGCTCTGCGCCAATGCTATTCTCCGGCGTCTTCGATTATGGAGACTCAGCTTCTGCCGCGAGGCAGAGTCCAGTGTGTCTGCCAAGCGCTCGTAATCTCGCTTTTCTCGTCCTTGGACCCGGAACACCCGAACCCAGATGCGGAACACCCTGGCCCGGATCCGGAACCGCTGGACTAGACTCGGAAACTCCAAATCCGGATCGCCCCAATACAACTTCAGATTCATGGCAAGTCGGAGAAACGCCCGAAGACTACCTGTGGCGGGATGAAGATTTCAGTAGGCGATGGACGCGACAAAGCCCCAGTAGCTAAAGTTTCGCAATGAGAGGAGAGCTGCAAGGAGAGGGCATGATTGGAAGCGATGTAGACATTACCGGCTCTCTGCTTTCACTTGTCCAGGTTCTCGCGATTTGGGCCTGCAGCACGCAAAAAGAAGCACGCTGGCAGCCCAGTAACACTGCAGTGCCGACGTGCCTGCTGCAGTGCTGCAAGCAACGATGACTACACTTGCGAGGACCCTGACAAGCACAGCACAGTGCATCTTAGGGAATGATCGCACATTTATTTACACAGTAGTTTGGCAGCCGAGGAAATGTCGATCGCGAGGCAAGAGAATGCTGGCGTGGTCACCCGCACCATCCGGACGATACAGACTCGTGTTGTGTGTTGTCAGGCAGATGCCCTCATGAGACAGGTCTCATTGTTGAATTAGAAGATGTTCATCTCTGCGGTGCGAAGACGAACCCGTTGCAGCAAGGTGAGAATTGCATCTCCTCTTCTGATCTCCTCCTCTGTGAATGCTCTTCTGGGCACAAAAGGTTGGAGCCTCAGTACCAAGCTGCGAAGATCTAGTTCAAGCAGCATGTTTTCCGGCACTTCTGAGATGTGGAGCGACTCAAGCACTTCGTATTGGAGGCCCATACTGCTGCAGAAATCTATGTTAGTCGCAGGTTCGGACGCGACATTCGGAAAATCACAAAAACACATGCTGCAAGAGACCTTTCGTGCGATGCCTTTGCTAGGCATGGCTCAAGGCTGCCGAGGATCTGCGGCACCTTGCCACCCTCCAGGACCAGCTTTGCAACAAAGGAATTTACAGCGATGCTAATCTGCTAGAGGCTTCGCATCGAAACCTTTTTGAGGAGCTGCGGGAGGGAACGCGGCTAGCGGCCGACTCAGCGATCTTTGTTTTGCCTGTCTGTGCCTTCATCCGAGCAACTCAAGGCCGAGTCCAGGCTCACCGAAGAGAGTTAGGGACTGAAGTCCTTGCCAGTCTCTGAAAACGAAGCTCTGCAGCATGCTGGAGCCCAGGTGCACACGCTCGTCAGCGTGCTTCCAAGGCAGTTTTAGCTCCAAGCTGAGTGACAACCCGTTCACAGACGAGACGAAACCAGAGGGAGGGAGGGAGGGAGGCTATACAAGGGTTGTTGGTTACTTGTATTTGCAAGCGTTTGGGCAGTGGACATTCTGGATGGCACTGCCCAACGAAAACCTTTCGATTGTGTCGTGACGGATTGGGCACGCTGAATCTACATGCCTGCTCTGTAAAGACTGTCTTCGATTTTAACTACAGTTGTCCACCGGGAAGCTACAATCTGAGCGCAGACAAGGAACTGAGCACATAAGACTGGGAGTCGTAACGTTATGTCAGCGTACGTGAGAACACACTAATTGGGAGGGCTTCAAAATGCAGGAGTCTACAGTACTTCCTCCTGATCGACTGCAACATCAGTCAAGTGTACCATGTACAAAGATGAGACACGTACCACCCTCTTTGTCCGTTGGTGCATCTAGCTGAATCTAGTTGCCTATGCCTGTCTACCTGTTTAGATGCTTGGTCGCAGGACATGTCCCTCGACCGTGCAAGTCATGTCATGCAGACAAACAGTCGGCTCAACGCAGCCCGTACATGAAGGTGCACCCTGTGGTGAGTTCTGAAGTAAGGCGTGGATCACACAGCAAGACGTCCTGGGCGGGAGCATGCAGGCCGAGGACGTGCGGCTCGGAACTGAGCACAGCAATGATCAGCAATGATATGACGGCCTGCGATGTGGATCTCAAAGGATAATTATCCAGAGCAGTTTACATTTGCAATGGCTCCCCGCAGCACGGTTCATGTGCAACGTGACGTGTAATGAGGGCGGTGCTTCAAGGGTGGGCTTTGGCGGGGGACTTACGATTCGGGAGCCGTTGCGCGTCTGCACACTTGCCTAGCCGCAAGCTTGCATTGCCTCGAACTGCAAGCATCCCCTCGAGTTGTTCGGCTGAGGCAGTTGCGGAAGGTTTGCCTCAATCTGAGCGATTTAAACACACACGCACAGCTTGAGCTTGTGCTTGATCAGCGGAAACGACTTTCGTTTACCGAAGTATCGGCTTTTCATCCCCGCACTAGGCTGATCGCATGTTTGCATGGCCGACCTATGTTCGTGCAAAGTGCAGATGGTCAGCGCAAAACGGTCTATTAGGAACTGAAGCTGGTATGACCAGGTTCTTGTCACTTAAGATCTTCGGAAGGTTCTGGTAAAGGCATGTTGGCACCGCGGTCATGCATGGAAGCAATCTGGCGCAGCCGACAGCTTCACAGCAGGGGCCCCAGATGTAAGCTTGATCCGGCATGCATCGATGCATGCTCAGATTGCAGCATCTCCGCTTTATGATGCATTTCGTTTCGTTCGATGGGCTAGTTCAGATGTTTGGTCCCAGTGCAGTTAGGTCGGTAAGGTCAGAGTAGTTCATATATGTTCAGCCCGTGGTCATTAGATAACTCATGATTACTCTTCTCTGTTTCTCTGTTTATTGAGCAGGGTAAGTCAGGCAGGCCATGCAAGGCTGCCAGTGACTTGAGACGGCACCTTGTCTACCAGAAATTTCATTGCGATCTCGGCATATTTCATGCCAAGGCACCTACTGGTGAAGTCTAGGAATCCTTGAAGCCTTCCTTTGCACTATTTCTGTAACGGAACAGCACTCTGCAATAGTTCATTCAGATCCTTTGGCTTTGATGGCTCTGCTTGGCAAGTCATATCGAACAAGTCTATTTGTGGAAGGATGCAGCTTTTGGAGTGTTTGTGTGTGCGCGTGCGGGTTGGTATGATTCATTGTGGCTCAGTTGGAGTGAAAGTTTGGGGGCCAGTCTGGTCGTGCTTTCCTGTTCCAACAAGTTGGATGGGCTGTTGTCCTCGAGGACATGGGTCGGTGGCAGGCTTTCATGCCAGAATCACTGGCTAAGTGGGGTTCGATATCTGGGTGAGGGCCTTGCCCCATAGTCAAAGAAAGACTGGCAAGAGTCCTGTTTGCAACAGACCTGGAAAGGAAATCACACGGGAACATTCCCCCCCCCCCGCCCAGCAGGCAGCACAGCAAAATGCAAAGCCAATAATGACCACTTAGTGGTGGGGTGGGTTCTATCGGCTGGCGTTCCATTGCTGGCAAATTTTCCGATAGCGGGTGAACCACGAGTTTGGCGTATAGCACTGGTGTTGGTGAGGATGCAGCAGGGCCCCGCTTTCCCAAGTTTTTGCTGGACGTTGGTTCGTAGTTTGTACTTGCATTGGCTAGAGTCTAGAGACACGAGCCGCGGCTCCAATGACCCCCGTGACCGGCCCACCCCTGTAGAAGTTTTGCAACAAGAGTACAAGAGTATGCAGGGCTAGGGCCGGCTTTAGTGTTGTGCAGACTGTGCAGAGGCGCGTCCTGGTCCCCACGCCTTCGACTCCGGGGTTTGCCTTTCGCCGCCTCCGAAGACTCTTGCATGCATTCTTGAACACCCGTCTCCAAGTGATGACCAGAGCTGGCTATGCAAGGCGGACATCCACGCTTTTCTGCAAGGCTTCGAGTTAGCAAGGACCTTAGCCTATCTTGGGCTTGGACCGGGATGTGATGGGATCCAAGAGACGCTTGTCTTGCATATTGAGGCTGGCAACAGCGATGTCAGGGGCGATGTTGAGATTATCAGGCTTTCCTGCGAGCCGGGAGCCTGCGCAGTGAGGGGTGATCTGCTCCTGCTGAGGAGGTCGAGCGACAACTTGCCCACAGGCCATGCCCTCGTCTATTTCAAGGATTGGGAGGCAGGTGCATCGCGAGATCGATGTTGACCTCTACCACGTTTTTCAGCTCCAACAGGAGGCCTGCCGTGCACGTCGCGAGAAGCAACGAGCCTATCTCGGCCTCGAACCCAGCTCACAACGTCTACAGTGTTCCACCCAGAACAAGTCGCGCGGAGGCAACCGCTGGATTGAAATGTATGTGGACTGGTCCCCGGATTGGCACTCTGGAATTTGAAGTGCCTGCTAGTGAACCTTGTCGTGGGTCAAAGCCATCCGACGACGCGATGGAGATGAAGTTCCTAGGTGTCGCTTGACTTGGCACATCTTGGCACATGAAGCTCCAACAGGAGCCGCTTTCGCCTGCTTCCAGCCGACACCTCCGAAGCGAGAAATGTGAGCAAGGGTGCTTTTCAAGATGTTTCGAGCATGTTGCTGTGTGCCTTGCAATGCCTTGCACGCCGGTGGTCTCCTGACTTGACTGACTGAGGCAGAGCAAGCTAAAGCACTTCAGAAAGCAGCGGGCGGAGGTCGAGATTACGAATCTCTGTGTGCGGGACTCGAACAGACACGGCCGACGCCGCATGTCAGATTGGAGTCCACAAGCCCCGCGTGAGAAGTGCTGAGTTGAAGACCGGCGAGTGGTTGGATCACCTCATGCTGTGCAAAGCACTGCAGTACTGGCAGCTGGCCGTCCTTACTCAGCCCTGGCCGGCGCAGTTATATCAATTGAAACACCAGAATCAGTTGGCAGTGTCATGCCGTGGCGTTTCAGCTGTCGCGATCCTAAGTCTTCAAGTGATGAGCCTCGTGCCAGGATCACCTGGCATCGGCATTCAGAACTTGAGTTGGCGGAGCGCCGAGTGGTGCAGTCCCCGTCTGGATGTCGTGTCTTCTTGTCTTCCACGTTTTAGATTGCCACGTCCTGGCAGGTCCGTCATGCTGGGGGCCTTCGAAAGGTTGCCCTCGCAGCTCAGTCTCGCAAAGCGCGGACGGTCGTGGCCCTTGCGCGCACGAGCATTCTCGCTGGTGGGGCTCAGGTTCAGTCCAAGTCGGATGATTTCCGGCATAACGTCTCCTGTTCCCGCGCCGGAAACTTGGAAGCGCTTTTCTGGGTCTCTACTCAGTGTTTTGCGGGACGAGCCTAGGTTTGTTTCGGGGCCTGGGCTCGAAGTGCAGCGCTACTCACAGCGCAGAAGGTGATCGAGACGGCCGGAGGCTTTCTTCATCAGTGCCCCATGATGACATGAGCTTGAGTTTGCTTTTCAACCAATGATGCGCCGTTGCAAAGTTTGAAGCAGCGGCCTTGAGGCCCGGAAGCAAGTCGAGCGCCAGCAGTTGACATCCATGCACATGCTGTCCAGGGAGAAGGCCGGAAGAGGCTTAGCGGCCTAGCATGGCCTGGCTGCCTAGCTAACACTCTAGCTATCTCTAGCTAAAGGCTTAGATGCTTGCCGGCTTGCCACATTCGACAAAAGCTTCACAAGCCACAGGCGAGGCTGGCCGACACCGTGCTCCCTGGACGAATATGATACAGATGTCCGTGGTAGGGTGGTCAAAGATGCCAAGTGAGGTTTATGTCGATGACTGCAACTTTTGGTGCTCGAGACGCTTCAGACAGTTTGTCTTCTGGACGCTTTCTGGTCGGGATCCCAAGATTCTTGATCTTTTGCGCTTGGCCACGGGGGCTGGTGGGGCCTGTTGCAGGTAAAACGTTGCTTTCCGTGGCGCATGTCCCAGCGGCCCACCTGACCCAGTCGACGGCTTGATGTCCCGACACCCCAGGTGGAGACGCCAGGCTGCCTACATGCAAGGAGCCCAGTTTTCGTGCGGGGCGAGCTCGGTTGGAGTCTCGAATTCCGAGGGCTGCGAAACAGCGCGTCCTGCGAAGAGAGGCATCGAACCTGAAGCTTCAGGAGGCGTGCTGGGGCCAAGTGACCCAGACGGCAAAGCAGACTGATGGATGGCCTGGAAACCCGTGCAGGACATGCGTCGCTGTGGTAAGGCTCGCGGGGATGGTGACCATAGCTGACATGCACTTCATCTCTGAGTCGGAAGAGTTCGCAGAGGCACATCAACGCCGCTGGGCATCCTGGGCTGCTCAGCTCTCAGGGCTTACGTTCCAAGTGCCTCTGCACACCTTCGTGCCCTTCTCTCAAGAGGCGAGCTCGAAGCTGCGGCGGCAACACTGGCAGCACGTACGTGAGGCGAGAGAAGGCCTTGCCTCGGAGTGCGCTTTGAAGCGTCTCCTGCCAGGCCTTCCAGGCTTGGAGCTGGGGCCTCGGGGATCCTCGCTGGACGCTTCCCTCCATCTGGAGCCGAGGTCAAGCGACTTCCAAGCCATTAGAGGACCCCATCGATGTCCACGGCAGGACGCTCTTCTCCGCAGAGCTGGTCTGCAGCCTCAGCATGTGCTGCAAACGGCACATCGACTGGAGCCTCATGCTTCAGCGCAGAGGCTCTGTCAAGGCAACCCTTCACTGGGCGGGTAGTCTTCGCGGCAGTCTGCTCAGATGGAATCTTTTGATTCTAAGTCGACAGACCCATCGCCCACCCACTTGCCTTTCAGGCTTGGCGGCGAATCAGCCAGGAGGAGAAGGCAAACTTCGGGGAACCCGATGGCATGACAGAACAATCCGCGGTTTTCACATTCGGTTTTCAGGCAATGAGCCTCGAGAAGCAGACGCGAGAACTGGAGGCGGAGCAGCCCGATCGGCAGATGCGACGGAGTCTCTTGCATCTCTTGCCTCGGGACCTTTTCGTTTACTCGAGCTCTGCCGGAGGCGCAGCTTGCACGTGCAGCGTGCGAAAAAGCTTTGTCAGTGTCGCATCCCCGGATTTCCCACGAGATTGCGACGAGCGAGGCCCAGCTAAAAGCCGGGAGACTCTTTGAGGAAGCAGCTGGAGCAGCGTCTGGCGTTCCAAGACGATGAGGGCGGCCAGCAGGTGTCCTTCGAGTTCCAGGTGCCTGGAACTTCCCATTGAATCTTTGTGGTTGAGGAGGGGCACGAGTTGGGATGTGGCACATGTCGACAGAGCCCGCAGCAAGCCGACTTCGCTTGCTTTTGCAATCTCGCCGAATCTCCAAACAGAGAGTCTTGCTACTCGACAGGGGACATGACGTGAATTCATCTGGGCGGGATCAACCATCAAAACGGTTTCGCGAGGGGGGAGGGTCAAGTTGGCCGGAGGCCTCGGGCTTGACGACGGGAGCGAAATGCACGTCGATAGCACCTTGAATCAGCTTGAGCATGGGTCCCCGTCCCTCAATACTAATTACTCTACGAAGTTGTATGCGTGCCAGGCATTGCAAACTCAGAAATTCGAGGAACGCTTGCGTGTTGCCCTCGGCACGACCAGTGAAATGTGTGGTGATGTGCTTGGAAGAAATCAGTGGCTGGCCTGAGGTAGCTTCAACTTTGGCCTCGTGAAGAGTCGGTCAAAGCCCACCGCACACCTCGAAGTTCCAAAAGAAGTTGCAGCTTTGCAGGGTCATCCCATGCCCTCCCATGCAGATAGTACGATCCTTGACCTCTGTCATTAGGTGCAGTGCAACTTGCAAGCAAAGCTTGTTCGCTCCCGCGTTTGTGCTCGTAGGCATTGACTCAGCCATGAGGCGTCGACGTAGACGAGCAAGCACAGACATCGAGTGTGCATGAGTCCAGAAGGAGGAAGGAATGCAGACACCTTGGAGTGCAAAAAAAATTGGATTTGGCGGTGTCCAAGCCACTTTTGAAACTTTTGCCCCAAGTGCAATAACGACCTGCAAGATCCGGCAGTTGGCACCCCCGGCTGCGTAATCTATAGGACGACGCGGAGATGTGCGGAGATGCTCGTTTGTCATGCCGGATGGAGGTTGTGGCAGTCGAGGCCGAAAAACGCGCCTCCATTCTCATTTACATCTCCCTCGATGCGATTGGGGCTTTCTCGCCGCAGTCCATGTTGCAGGCTCGGCGCGACAGCCCTGACATGCAACCCCTGCTTCTGTAGGTGGCGCGTCTGGGCCGACAGCTTCCCGGGCCACTCGCACAAAAGCCGTTTCATGCCCGGGCTGGCACACCCGCGCCACAGCCGGTGGAGGGGAAGAACACCAGACGTGGTGCATGCGGCCCTTTAGTCATCCATCGGGAGGATAGAGGCATCCCCGGCAGGCTCCTATATATTGGCAGGTGTTTCATGAATCACCACTCGCAGCACTGCTTTTTCTGGAGCGCCGTGATGTATAGCAGCGAATCGGACATCTCGGTTGCCCGACGTGAAAACAATCCACGATTGTGGTCGGCCATAATCGTTCCAGGCAAGACCATGTCACCAAGCGGTTCCATGTCAAGCGGACACTATCAGTCACTCGGTGCTGTTTGCGGCGCAGCTCCCGACAGGATGTCGAGGGGCCGCGGGACATGCAGCAGTGTCCTGCGTGTTCGGGGTGCCCCGCCACTATGTGCCGGGTTGCTTCTATGCCGCAGCAGCCAGCGTTATTGTTGCGTTGACTCGCGTTAGCTCGCGAACTCGAAGCATTCAAAGCTCTCCCAGCCACCCCACTGCCCCTGCCGGCTGCAGTCTCGTTATGTCTCGCTCTGCGTGGTCCGAGATGGCTACATCTCAACAATGGCACACTCTGCGCGGCTCCAGACCTACGGCGCTGGTCGATGCCCGAGCCTTGTTCCGCGGACCCCCTCGCAGCCCCGAAAGGCCATGCTTTATTCCGACGCAACGCCCGCCGGACCAAATCCGCAGCAGACCATGCTCATGCACATGACCGGCGACGCCGGGGGCGCGGCAACCGAAGCGGCAGACATCGGGGCCGAAGTGCTACAACGACGATGACGACGATGGGTTGCAAGGTGACACTGCCGCGAGGTGCAGCTGTGACCGGGAGAAGTGAATATGAGCCTGAGGGCCGAACAACAAAGCAAAAGACGCAGAGGAAACGAACAAGAAAAGAGCCAGGTGCAGAGTTCTGTCCGTTGCCTCTAGCAAGCCGTCGCCCATGCAACGCTGGGGCCATTCCGGGCCCGGCGCATGCGGATGCCCAGACCCTGATCGAGGTCGTGGACGGAAGGGCCGATGCGCTAGCCGCGACTTCGCTGCCCAAGCTTGAGCAAGGATTGTGGTTTCTCCTATTTCCTGCTGCTCTACTTTGCAGAGCCTCGAAGTACGTATGTACTTGCTACGAGCCCCGCCGGCCGCCGACACCGCTGATTGCATGTTGTGTGAGCACGAACCGCGTGTACTGTACGGGAATAGCGCCCGCAGCTTTATTATTGGGCAGCTTGGGTAGAGGCCCTCCCGATAATGCTGCAGAAACGCCCAGACGCAGCACGACGCAAGAACCCGCGACTGGCGGTGCGTCGACTGCGCCTTACTGGAATCAACGCCTGTTGCTTCGCGGAGCACAGCCCGCACACTCCGAGCCCGTAGAGCCCGGAAGTTGGTTTCACGGTTAGAAGCAACCGGCAGATCAGGCTGCCTGTTTTGCCTTCGTTCGAGACCCTTGCCGACTCCTCGGCTGCCCATCACAGGGCCAGAAGACCGAACGAACGAACTGGAGGTGCCGTTGGGAGGAGCTGCTGGGAGCTCGCTGCCGGAGCCCACTAACAATACTAGCATATCAGACTATACTTGTTCAAGGAGCCGGCCGAACGGCAGCGTGCGCTCCCGCGGCCATCGGGATGGCCATGGTTTATTGCAGAATTCGTCGTTCACGTGCCCCCGGTACTCCAGTTTGCGGTTTGCGCTTTGGGTCTACGTGCCCTTTTGCATTCTGCTATATACGGCAACACACTAGAGGCAATGTGAGGCTGCCGTGGAATCATTAAGAAGCTGCGCTCATTCTGGCTGCCACGTCCCCCCCGAATTCGTATACCGCTTTGCACATGGTTTGTGTCGACGCGAACGGTGGTCTCGTGAGTTTGTCCGCACGTGTCTGGGCGAGGTGCTCTCCAACCATGTCCTTGCCATAACACCCGTCCGTCCCCCGTCCGTCGCTATACCATGCTATGTCATGCCTATGCTGAGCCGGACCTCCGCACCCGGTCTGGCAGCCCCAATCTGTGCTACATTGGACAATTCTGGTGCACAAGTGGTACCCACTTGCACGTGCTATGGGCCTCGCTCCTAGGTGCCGTGAGGACGAACGGGCCCAGAATGCATGCACTCTCTCTACTACCCGAACATTTGGAAGGCCATGAGAGAGGCATTCAGTGGCACTCTCAAAAATGAAAAACATAGCTGTTGACTTGTAATGCCGCCGTTGCAACCGGCAAAGCATGTGTGGAGCCTCAGGCTTGTCAGGGCTTGCGCGTCGAATAACATTTCGGCATGATCAGGGGGCACACCTGAGGCACCTGCAGCATCAACGATCTGCTCTATCTGCTCTGGGGCACAGCGAAAGAGCATGCAAGACAGGCATGCCTACACGGAGACCTGACGGTGGATGACTTGGGCACCGATTTCACGAATCGTGCAAGTGAATCTCTCTCTGGCGAGGAGCTTACGAAAATGCTTACGGTCGGGACTGGCGGCGGCAATGCAACTGCATTGCTTCTACTCCAGCGACCTCTCCACGCACGAGGCATACAGATCACTGCGGTGCTGCTAGGTGAAGGGTGGGTCCAAGCTCTTCGGGCAGCCGGATGACGAACATCATCAATTATCCCTCAGCAGAGCATGGACGGTGTTAGGAGTCGCCGCCGATCCTTCGATTCACTGTCCTGTACTGTCCTCTTCATCCGACGGGCTCAGGCCAAAACCACAGGGCTCAAGCCAACTCTGTGGCCACAGCTTCGAATCCGCAGGATGGGCGCATGAGTGCCGATGCCGATGTCCCCCACGGCGATGTCTCCAAGCCACAGATCTTGATCATCAGGGATGACAGTGCGAAGCTGCGGCTCTGTATCGTCCGCAAGGCAAGCTCGCGACAGCTGGCACAGGTGAGAGTGTCAAAGCCCGTGTACCATGACCAGCCTGCCGGCTGTGTTCGTCGAAACAGACAAAGGTTTTTGGAATTTCGGTGGCATTCCCCCACCTAGTGTGCTTGCCCTTGCCTCTGACTCCCCGATCTGGGTTGGTGACCAGGCAATCCCCTTGGGCAGAACGTCGTGTTGATGCCCACTGCGTTCCTCTTTTCAACACCTCCCCAGGTGGCCGTTCCCGATCACGCGAACTCCCGTGACACCGCGAAGTACGCGATCACCGGCAAGATGCACATACAGAGTATGAGCGGCATGTGCAGATCCACGGCGATTGATCGCTGATTTGGGTCGCCAACGGGGTAGCCAATCACGCACTTGAGTGCTTACGGCTTTTGTCCACCTCACAATTTGAGGATTACAGTACCAGCTTCCCAGCGAACTACGCAAAGTTGCCTATGGAGTTCCCCTGGGTATCCATGTAGAGATCGACAGCATTCGAGACGAATCCGAAAGCAAAACCATGTGCAGGAAGATAAACGAACTCAGACGTGAAAGGTGCATTATGCTCAGCAGCCCAGCCCAATGTGAACATTCGCTCGACGAGACATGGACCATGACACCAATGTCAAGCGAAACCTGCCGCCGGTTCCGGGAGATCTTCCGCATCAGTCCGCTCGCCACCTCGAACCCCGTCAAATGGAAATCGACTTTGGAATACCTCAAGAATTGCCCCGAGACACCAGACCGAGGCAATCCCACCTGATGCATTGATGCATCCACCAGGAGTCACCACATCGTGTCCGAGCGCATGCCCGCAGCCCCAACATGCGCACGAGCACACCCCAGAGACACCCCTCTCGACACGAGTCGTCTCCCTGAGGGCTTGAAAGCTTCAGCAGGATGGCGAGGACCCCGCCATCACATGCCATCACCACACTCGCCAAGACGCGGTTCCTCGCAAAATTTCCCTGAACTCGTTCACCGGAAGGTGGAGGTAGGTCTACATTGCCAACCTTTCCGCCGACGACTTCGGGATCACGAGAGCCAACCGTTTCCCCAGCAAAATGAAACCATCTCAGGCATTGACCTCACTGCCAAGGGTGAGACATACAAGGCCACCTTTGACATCTACAACAAGCGCCGGCACACGAGTGCCGGACGCGGAGTACCGAGTCATGCTCCTCCGCAGACTCCGCCTGCCCCTCCCGCTCGCCCCGAAGCGCTGTCCCTGCGGTGGACGCTTGGATGAGTACGGCGACCATCGTTCGGCCTGCGCGCAAGCGGGCGTGCTAGCCCGCAGAGCCGGCC